CCAGTCTTTCTTCCTTTTTAGTTCTTTGATTCGGTCTCTCTGTCTTCACATACTGCATTAGAATAACACATAAAAACATGTAGAATTTAATTATCGTGGTATTCTTCTTTTGTGAGAGAGATTAGTCACCCAGAAATTACTTGTAACAATTATATCTATCTGTTTTTTTTCCACAGGTGTCTGCTTTTCCCTCTACAAAGAATGTACTACAGCAGCTCCAGGAGTTGGCCTCATCCATATTCTTTTATCTTGTTGACTCCAGCCAGGGAAGACTTTCTGGCTACAGGCTACGAACGGCAAGTGAAGTTTGTTCTGCTGATCTGTTTCAGTGTGTTTGCACATTAGTTTTAGAAAGCCTAGTCCAGTCTTCAGCTTTTGGTTGCCATAGATGACAACAATGGTTTCCATATTTTTATTGTTTATATTTGAGATCATTTTACGGTCATGAAAAAGGTAAAATATATAACAGATGAGTGATTTGTAAGAGAGCATATTTTATATTTTATTTTATATCTCAGTTTGAAGGAAATCAGTGGAGCACCATACTTTTAGTGTGGAAAGCAAGTGGACTTTTACTATAATGCTTAAAATACTCTGAGAATGAATTCTTATTATTATAGCCAGAGGTCTGTTTGTTGTTCCTGTTCTCACAGTGAGCTACCATGAAATGATACTCATGGATGACTAAAAGAATTAATGTGGCTGTTTTTTCAGGACTTGTCGACTGAGCTGATCTGGGAGGTGGTCATCCCGACCGAGGTACAGACGATTATCTCGGTGAAAGGAAAACGGCCTAATGAGCACGTGCACTCCCAGGGCAGAGTAATGGGAGACCGTAGTGTCCTCTATAAGGTATAATAACTTCCCCTTAAACCTTACTGACACTGTGCTGTGGAAGGAGTGTTTGAGGTAGAGGAAGAAAATTATATCAATGCTCTTATTGGTTTGGGATTTGGTCAGTGTTGTCGCGGCTTCTCTCTTTTCCACTTTAGTCAGAAAAACGGAGTCACTCACGGAGTCTTCTGATGTAGGCTGAAAACTAATCTTTCAAAGAAACACTGAACCTCATGTCACTGTTTCTCCAGTGAATCATATCCCCTCTCCACCACTGACTCTGAATAAGAATAAACCCTGTTTTTCACTCCTTACTGTAGTTCATGTATGAAATTAACCATATTCTATCCCTGCACTCAGTATAAGTCAGAAACTCTAAAGCCCTGTCAGGGCAGTCTGGAGACTGTAAAGTTCATGGCACCCTAGTGAAAATGGCACCGTTTTACATCTTAACATTACACCTTTTTATTGAGGTTGTTTATATTTAACATGTTTGATAAAAGAGAAGAAGCTTATTTTCTATTTACAAGGTAAAGAGAATCCGGGTCAATGTATGCTGTAGTAGGCCAAAAAATGTTATATCAAATTGATTGTCCCTTTAATATTGCAACTCTGATTTATTTATGAGAAATAAAGATTATTAATTTCATTTTAAAGTGAGTGGTGGGAAACATGCATTTGACTACAAATCTGTGCCCAATGGCTAGTATGTTTTTGTACAACGTTGATTAAGATGCTGAATTGTGTTTCATCTCATCTCTTACAGTACCTGAACCCCAATCTACTGGCTGTGGTGACTGAGAGCACAGACTTGCACCAGGAGCGAAGCTTTGTCGGGATCCTTCTGATTGATGGCGTGACCGGTCGCATTATCCATGAGGCTGTTCAGAGAAAGGCCAGAGGGCCGGTGCATGTTGTGCACTCTGAAAACTGGGTGGTGGTGAGTATTACCCACTGCTAGAGTCACTCATAAGGAAAGATTATTCATTCCTTTGTTGCTTTTTGCTTGGTTACAGTAAGCATACAGTGTTGTCTCACTGCAGCTGTAAAAATGACACTGAACACATTATGAGACAACAGGGGAACACAGGTGATACCTTGAGGGTCATGTGATCTCGCTACTGAATGTGTCCCCTGCCTCTGTTTGACTGCGCAGTACGAATACTGGAGCACCAAGTCTCGCAGGAACGAGTTCTCTGTAATTGAACTGTATGAAGGGATGGAGCTCTACAACAGCACTGTGTTCAGCTCACTGGATCGGCCACATGCTCCTCAGGTGCTTCAGCAGTCTTACATTTTCCCCTCGTCCATTTCTACCCTGGAGGCCACACTGACTGAGAAGGGCATCACCAGCCGCCATCTGCTCAGTAAGTTTCAGCACGGTCCTGTCTTAGTTGTTGCAGTGAATTACTGTCTTTAATTTAAGAGTAACCCACCTGCTCTCATAAAGGAAAAAGGTCTTTTGAACTTTCTACAGCCTTGTTTAATGTTTATTTTGTTTTCTTTGTCACAGTTGGCTTGCCGTCTGGAGGGATTTTGTCATTACCCAAGATGTTCCTTGACCCTCGGAGGCCAGAAATAGTATCTGAGCAAAGCCGGTGAGTCACTCAGTCAGTCATCATATTTAATAGATTTTGGGGGATTTTCCTGTCTGTGTCTAAGCTGTTTTCTTGATGTCCAGTGAAGAGAACCTGATACCCTACGCGCCAGAGTTGCTGATCCGCACAGAATGGTTCATCAACTACAATCAGACTGTATCAAGAGTGCGAGGAATTTACACTGCCCCCTCTGGACTGGAGTCTACCTGCCTGGTGAGTCTAGCGTCGCAGTATTGTCGGGGGGAGAGAGAGGGGGAGAGAGAGAGAGAGAGAGAGATGGGAAAAGTTTTTTTTTCCTTGTCTTTTTCTCAAACTACCACTGTGTGTGAGAATTTTGATTTCATATTTTCCATGTGTGGTGTTTGTCTTAACTTGTCTTGATCTCTACTGCCTGTATTTCCTGACATTGCCATTTAAGGCCTTAGGGAAACAACCACTGGCATTTTGGATTACTTTAGGATGAAATAATTCCAAGGAACAAAATATGATATGCATATATGTATTATTTGTTTTGAACCCCAAGAGAAGATATTTATTTTGACACAATACTAAATAATGGTACAACCATAAAAAGTTAAATCCAACCAAAACAGGTGTTAATACAGTCAACCCATTGTTTTCTCCCTTTCAGGTAAATCAAACATAAAACTGACAATGTTACTTGTTTCCTTGTAGGTGGTTGCATATGGTCTGGACATCTACCAGACACGTGTCTATCCCTCGAAGCAGTTTGACGTACTCAAAGATGACTACGACTACATGCTGATCAGTAGCGTGCTCTTCGCCCTTTTCTTTGCCACCATGATCAGCAAACGCCTGGCAGAAGTCAAACTACTCAACCGGGCGTGGCGGTAAAGGTATCGTCAAAATCCCATCTCTGACAGCCCTAAGGCTGCGCAAAGGACCTCAGCCCAAAGAGATGAGACGGCTGAGGCCGTGCCTGTAGAAGACCACAGGTCAAAGTTCAATAAGGCCTATAAGGAACTGCAGGGGTGAGGGGACGGTGGGGTGGGGGTGAAAGGGGATTAGTAGAAGTTTTATGTGTTTATTTTTTAACTTATTTTGCAAGCACAAGGACTTATTTCATCGTAGAATAACTGTTTTTCATGCCATGTCATGTTGATTAGATGTTTAATACATATGTGATTACAAGTGAATGAAACAGACTTTGATTAAAAGAAATTGTGGTGTTTGGAAATTCCGACACATGTGAAAGTTAGATACTTAAACGATGTTAGTTTTTTCCAAGATTTTGTTTTGACATTTCTGCTTCATTAGACTGTTCTAATGGAGAGTGATAATATATGTGGAGTTCAGAGAAAAGAGAGACGGAAGACATGCCACTCATGTCAGCATGATTTGGTATAATAAAGTAGTTGTATGGTTTGTACTTTAAGCCTGCTGAATCACCATGATACCCGAGTGTGAGGAGATAATGTAGCATGGACAAAAAATGGTTATTTGTGCTTTCCTGACCAAAGTCACTGTCATCTCCAATTTAACAGTTTGTCCTGTTTTCTCAAGCTCTGAGAGAGCACAAAAATTGTTGGAATATGATATCTTTAAGAAACAATGGTACTTTTAACACTGGATTACTTTTAGTAAGGATATTGTGTTACGTGTACTTTCCTACTGTAGGTTTATAATACATTTTCCAGACATGTATTTATCGATTTATATAAACCAGTAAAATTGGCTAAAAATGTTAAAACCATGTCAATTTAATGTCATTGCAGCAGGACACACATTTCATTCATTCTGTATTTATGGTTTTCTTCAAAGATGAATGGTACAAAAACACTTGCAAAATAAAGAAGTGATATGTTGATTTTCCTTCCTTTCAAAGGTAGTAGTTTCATGAGGATCTAATGTAAAAAAATAAAATAAAATCATCAACATGAAATGGCTGGCAAAAAAGCTTTCCATTGGTACGCATCATAGGGCTGGGGTGGAAACACAGAGCCGATCATAGAATGAATAAGTTATTTTATTTCTATAAATAGATTAAAAACACAATTTTACAATGATTTACTTTTGACAACAAACAACATTATGAACTTAGAGACAGCCTTTGCTTGGGCCAAATTTGACACTGAACCTTCATGAGAACTTCCAACCTGTCAATGTAACAAACGTAGGTCTGCACCTCAAGAGTGTAAACGTAACGTGACTACCATGTCCATACACAAAAAACAAGCATTAAAGGCCCAATCATTACTTTTTTGGACCATATATGCAGTATTTGAGCTAAATGTACATACACAAGTAAAATAATTCAACGTAGTGATATACATAGTTTGTCAAGTGACCATAATTGTGCATATAAACACTTCTGATGGAAAACCTTTAACAGCATCACAAGACATTAATGAATTGTTGACTACTGTTCTTCATATGTAAATGCTGCACTTTTGTTTGTATTCGGCTCACAGAATTTTCCTTAAAATAAAATAAATTAAACTTAATTAAAGTGTGCACATGAGCATATAATATGATGCAAGGGTGAATGCTTGAAATGCGGTCGTTTAGTGTTGTGTAGGTAGGATGTAGCTAGGTGTAACTTTAAAATAAAGTGATCAGCTTTCTGCTAGTGATAGCTGCAAAAGGCATGCACAAACCATGTTAATGTTTTGTTGTGTCATTCTTATTTTACCCTTATTGCTAAATTTATCATAAATCTTAATGTGAGAATGATTCGGTAAAACATTAAATCTATCAATACATTATACTTAAGATTTCAAGCAGCAATGTCATAAAAAACACACACACGGAATGAACAGTTTGGTACAAGCCCAGCTTGTACATACAGTAATTATTTGCTCACGAAAAAAAAATATAGTAGTAGCTCAGGTTGTTTAAGTGATATGAGCATATGACTGTCAGACTTAACAATCAATGAGCAATGAGACATTTTCCCTGTGAGAAAAATGGTTATAAGAGGTAAAAAAGTCTCCACTATTAGTGAAAATGCTGGAATGTTTTCCAGGATGAACTTCAGGGGACGTCGGCAAAATACTGACCAGTTAAAAAGTTCAGTTAAAAATTGACAAAAACCTCAGTGTTGTTTGACATAAGTGACCTTGAAATACATCAGTCATTAAAAAGAACACCTATACGACGCACTATATACAATAGTGTATCACATGGTTATTTATGATTTATATGTCACAGTTTTGTACTCGTCAAGTGTCAGACAGTGACATAAGCTAGGGTTTCTATGTGTTCTGCCAGACGCTGCCGTTTCCTGTCCTGGCCGGTTCACTCAGGAGTCTTCCTCGTCTGTCCGAGTACGCTGGTCGGTCAGGTGGCAGGAGGATGTAGTGCGTAGCGCTGGCCTGTCTGCCATCCTTCAAAATGGGAACAATGCAGGGAGATAATGGAGCTGCAGGTGGCGCCCTTTCACTCTGCTGCCCCTGTAATGCCTTGCTCACATATTTTGGGTTAGCAGCAAAACTCTGTGTGGCAGGCATCACACCATTGATATAAATTGGAAGGCTTTTGGGGCTTGGGGTACGTGGTGGGCAGGGTGGGACTAAGGGGACCCTTGGTGGAATTTTGGGAGGCTTGTCTTCCTCGTTGGGGGTCACAGTCCTTAAGAGAGCAGGAGGTTTTGGCGGGATGGGGATACGAGGAGGGATTTGTGGCTTGTCAGTGGGGCAGGTTGTGGTGCTGCTGTGTAGAGGCAGAGAAGCAGGGCCTGAACAGGAAAACCGGAGTCTGGGTGATTGGTGTTGGTCTGGCTGTTTGCTACACAACGAATCCCCTGCTGACACCACATGTGGGTGGTCTTCTCTTCCTTCTGGAGAGCTGATGCCCAGATGTTGGCTCCAAACCCACCTCCCTGTTGGTCTGTCCTCTCTGCCTGGCCATGAGAAAGCCATTGAGCCAATCCCAGCACCACCAGCCGGCAACAAGCTCTCCTGGTAGGCGTAATTAACTTGCCCACAGTCTCTGTTCGTGCCCCTGCACATGGCCTTGGGGCAGCTTTTGGGCAAAAGGCGACGTCGGTCACTGGTAAAAAACTCCACCTCGCTATCGGCTGCCTCATCAGACATGAGCTCCTCATGGTCAGGCAGAGGCGGCAAGGGTTTGGCTTCTCTCTGGTGGCTCCCAAACACGGTTTGTCTCTGGGAAGAAGGGACCACCTGGTCTCCCTCATGGTGCTGCAGTATGTTATCACACGTTAGGCGGGAGGTATCAGAGTAGAAAGGAGGCTGGGAGAGGGAGATGCTGCCTGGGAAAGCTGAAAATAATCATGTATTAAATAACTGTCTTCAAGAATTGCTAAATTGTACTTTACACCAAGATATCACTGCTTTGTTGTACAAAGGTTTTGCTATCACTGTTGCTTCCTTCAGTGCAGAAACAATTCTCAGGGGAAGAAACATGGAAAACAACTTGCCATGAGAAAAAACAAACTCTTAACGCAAGTGTAGTGATGGTGTAGGAGGGAAAAAATACCAGGGGGAATGGGCTGCCCACTCTACTTAGAAAAAGACTCCTGTTTTGCTGAAGGTACCGTACAGGAAACGGGAGTAAAAACATGTTGAAAACAACCGCTTAACCTATCACCCTCTTCGTCAAACATCAGCCACAACACCCTGATTAACACAGGAATCGGCATTATCTACGGGGCAGCCTATAATCTTCACGGAGCTTCCCATAACCTTCTCTGTGGAAACATCCGACGTGCCCCAGACTGCAGGAACAGCTGGTGACCAGGGAGCAATAGCTTCCCCTCCTCCTTCACTCACTCTCTCTGCTACACAGCTCAGTCCAGTGATGACAAACTCACCTAAACCCTGTCTGCATGCTGTTTTATCAGTCAAACAGGGTTTAAACTCAACGTCTGTCGAGCTAAGACGAACTTAAGGGTATAGATTTATAATGGCAGACTGTATTACTTAACCCAATTCAAAAATGATGACAACTTTAAGAAAATTAATGACTTAGCATAGAAAAATGTGTTTTGTTTTGTTTATTTATATTTAATTTCACAGATATTCATAACCGTGTGCACTTTGTGTTTTGAGCACATGTTCCCTTCTATCTCAAGGTATAACAATTATCAGTAATTACAGATTAATGTTAATAACGTAATATTTATAAGCAATATTAACTTGTCACGTGTCACATGCATCCAAGTTAAGTGAACCAGTGCTAGTTGTAGACACTTTTCAATTTGTACTTTTCTTTGTCCTAAAAATAATTTTATTATTACTTAAATGTAAAAACAATATCTAAAACACTCACAGTTAAATTCCTTGGCCATTTGCTGTTGTTGAAGCTCCGTCGGGTTGTGTTCCATGCCAGCACTCAGGCCAAAGCACGCTCTGCAAAGCAAGAGAGGTTGAGACATCCATACAGAGATGTGTGCGAATGTAAATCATTCCTGCACATAACCTGTCATGAGTAATTCATTATATGTGAAATAAAGAGCATGCCATATGCTTTAACAGAACATATGCTCTGCTCTCCTTTCTGTATTTACATTATGTAACAGCATTATAAGCTGCTTGACGTCTTCTTAGAGCCATATCCTTCTTGTTTGTTGCTGTCTTTATGGAGCTTTGATGATTGTTCTGTCAATGTTATCATTTTAAAGGTTTCAAAACGGGACTGATTTTTCCCTTTTTTCCCATTCAAAGTTTTCTTCTCAGTCTTTCCTTATCCAATGTCAAGGGTCCAAAGGAAAAGGACGTCATATGTTCTACAGATTGTAAAGGCAAATTTAAATAAAACTGAAATTATGACAGAATTTGAGGGATTTTGATCACAGACACGTTATTTAATTAACTCTGCAACTGCAGGTGTTCATCTTTTCTGTCTGTTTACATGTCAAACATGACAACATGACAACATGACAACATAACAAAAGTACTGTGCCAAGTATTTAATATGGATTGTCCCAGAATTATACTCCTGATATTGTGTGATGAAACTTAAAGTAGTTTTTGTAATGTCACACTCATAGTGATAAGTGATTCTTGTTTACATTTTGTTTCTGGTGTTTGTTCTGGTTTTGAGTGGTGTTTGCGTACCTGTTTAGGTCATGCTGTCCCCAGTAGTTATTCTGACTCCCGGCCATGTCACGGCAGAAATTGTGTTCTTAAAAAGCATGAAGGTGTGTTTGGTATCGGTCTAAAGCCCCAACACAAGTCAGCCCCATCAAACCCATCACGGCTTCATTCTAGCCAGTAGTAAGCTATTGGAAGACAAACAGAAAACATCCTGAGTAACGGTGCATCTTTTAAATTCACACCTTGTTTTAGTAGCTGTGTCAAAAATGCCACATTTCACATTTGACTTTTGCATTACATCAGTTCTTTAATTTGTTCCAGTCACACCTTTGTCAGAGTGGAAAAGTGGACAGTGTGAATCTGGAAGACAACCCCATCCAGCACACCCAGTTGCATGCACCAAGGGTCAGAACAGATACTCTAGAGACTTAAAACACAAACACATACATCACCTATAGATTAAATTATTCATATTATTACTATACAGCACAACTATCATTACATGCCATGACTACACTGCCATGATGTGTATCTCTTTGTGGTTCCAGCTTAAAGCCATTTGTCCGATGAGCGGGCTATTGCACAACCTCTGGGTCAGTTGTGGGAGGGCAGGAGCACTTCTCGCCCTCCTTCCTCTCTGTGACCATGAAACCCTGCAGTATCCGCCCTTATAACAGGGGCTAATTGTTCAGCAATCCTGTCATGCTGAATGTCAAACCACTGTCTCAGTGGTTTGACATTCGGCACACCAAATACGGATCATAAAATATTTAATTTATTAAATAATAATATAAATTTAAAGGCAGGAAATGATTACATGTCTGTATTGTATTATAAGTGTTCTACAGTCTAGCAGCATGACGGAAAATGATGGAAAACGGATCTTAGGTATTGCGTAAAATATGCTTTAAAAGCTAATGAGTACAAGAAAGGCATAGTTGATTGTATATGCTTATATACACACAAGTGGCTCCACGTCACTTGATTCAGATGCTTCCCATTCTAACATTTAACTACATATATGACAGCTGCTTCCTGCCTCCTGATAATGACATGAATACTAACTGATATCACTACTGCATGGAGATGAACACATGCATTCTGGGTCATCCTTAGAGATGCACTGATATAGTTTCAGGGCAGATAAAGATAACCCATATGTGTTTGTTCTGGCTGATACAGATATGATAACCGATAATATATTAACATGATCTTATATAACATGTGGATTAAGAGGGGACAGTAAGTTTACTGTGGGGGAAGCAGTCGAAGCATTTCTGCATGTTTACGTTATGCTTATTCAACAGGTGTTTGATAAATTGCAGAACAATAATTACATTTTCTTCCTTATTGGGCAATAAAATATCGGCTTTACTCACAAGGTGGAAGGTCAGAGGTTGGATTAAACAGACCATTTGACAACTGAAGGAGTTTGTCGGCAGGTCTCTGCCCTCAACAAGTCCACAATCAAAGTACTTATTCCCTTTCAGCTTACAGCAGGGATGCTGCTCAGTACTTCGCGGTCCTGACTCTGTCATGTAGGAGGCAAATAAAGTAATGTCTTCACTTAGCTTCACGATCAGAAAGTACCAGTTAAACTTTACTGGGAAACTAATTTTAAAAAAATAACAAAAACATATTCTTCAAACTTAAATGTGCCAAACTTAAAAAACATTTTTTTTTCTTCAAAAAGTCAAATGAACTACTTTACTTTGTAAAGAACTGAGGTATGCTTCACCTGAACCACTAATTAGTAACCCACTCCACTCCTACTCGTCCGGAGGCCAGCGCAAGGTCTTAATCTTACTATCACACTGCAATCTTATTCTTCAGAATTCTTCAAAGTCCTGCTTTGTTTCATATCACTACAGGTCTACAGCCGGTGTAGGAAGCAAACAATGCAGAGCATGCATAATGCAACAACAAAACCACCACAAACAAAACAGTGACCCATGCGTCTATTTGAATATTTATGTCATCCTTAAAACAACCCACTGTGGCGTCATTTCCGCCAGTAAGCCTCGGAGATGGAAGACGCCGAACAATTATGAATTCTACCAGCAAGTACTCAGTGCCCATGAATGGAGCCACTCTCGGGCATGAATGGGCCTTTGTGTCACTTTGGAGCGCAGTGAAGCAAGCCTGAAAATACAAGTGAACTCTCCCATGAGGTCAAGACTGAAGATACGCCATGGAGACAAGCAGACATGGCCAAGGTATGAGCCTGTGGCACAATTCCCCTGCAGGAGAACTGTTCGTACTGGCAGTGTTGGAGGAACAAGCCAGAGGCTAAAAAACAGTTTGTTTATCTCATACAGGAGCCTTGATGTGTTGTCCTTGGTTGTTTCTTCCTTACTTTTTTTAAGCAGTAAGCCATTCACTGTCCCTTTACAGATGATTTATTAATGGTGCAGTAAAAGTATCTGCTTTATATCACCTACTTACAACTTCCTGTACACTCTAGTGGCCAAGTAACACTCAGAGCTTAGCAGGGAAATCTTACCAGATGCTGTTATTGCAAAGCAGACATCTCACAAAAAAATAAAATGCAGCTTTAGTTCTCTTTATCATTTGCAAAAATATTGATCCTTAATCTTTCAAGCATCTACAAATTTGTATAGTTTCCCTTACACCTGTGACATAAGTACATTTTATATTTTTATATTTTAGGTCATGACCAAAACATTATATCTCTAATAAAGTTAGTACTATCAGGGAATTTAATTTTCTTATTCACATGTTTAGATACTGGGAAAATTTGCACCGCTAATCCAGGCCAATACTCACATTAGTATTTGATCATTTTTTATCTTTACATTTTTATACTATTTATTTTTTTTAGATTTTTTAGATTTTTACTCTCATTCTAATTATTATTCTTTATGTGCACACTAGCATATCTTCGAGATTATGCCACCCTACATTTCACAGGTAAAAGTACTGTATCATCATGTGAAAAATAAAACCTTTGAATCTAAACCTTTAAATGTGGATTAAATCCTCCTCACTGTGGGGCAGATACTGGTGAATCATTAGTCTCTGGGATTGGCTCATTTTATTCATGAACAGTAGTTTACTCAATAATAATCATGCAGTTTGAAATGCTATGAATCATTTAAACTATTGAGAACCATATATGTTTATTGAAGCTGATTCACTAGGTGTTGGTAGTAGAATAGAAAAAAATTACAGCTGAACTGATTCTCGTTTGCTCACAGACACAGGTGTGGAAGTTACCCAGGAGTCCGTTAGAAATTTGTTAGTGAGTGACTGCTATAGTCTGGAAATAAGTGTCTCAGTTATGTTTTAAATTAAATAAATTACTTAATCACATAATTTGTTAATTATACTATGCCTAAAGTCAAAGTAAAAAAAAAATTTATAAGGTTTACAGCAATCCAAAATTTGATTTCCTCTAGCAAATCTATATGCAGCTTAGTAAGCGAAGTGACAATATTTATTTAACCATTCATGAATGTAGTATAGGCAACAATCTTGTGAAGCAACAAATCCATACTAAATAGGTTAACCCTACTATAGTCAAATGCAATACTGTTAACCATGCTCAACAAATGCCTATTTTTTTTTTTATTTAAATGTTAGTTTACCTATGCTATCAATTTAAATTTATAATATAAATTTTATTTATATTAAATTGGACCAAACTCCACACACGAATTGAACTATTCTGGCACCGACTGCTGGCTGACTCGCTCTTCAGCGTCCACTAGCGGCGGACCGGGGACTGGCTGAGCAGTCCCGGACTCACCCATCCCGACATGAGGAAACCCTGCGGCTGGCCAGGAGAGCGGTCTGTCCCGCTGCTAACAGACAAATAAACCTGACAGAGGAGCAGAATCAGTCCACACACAGCTCAACTAAAGGGTCTTCTCAAAGAAACAACAAAAGATCCTATAATTTGGACCGACGGCCGCGTCTCCCGGTTCTTTTTGCCTTTAAGGTTAAGTTCCTCACGAGGAACATCAGCAAATAGGCTATGGTTTAAAATAAGCTGGCTCTCCCGTTCACATCAAATATAACACTGCTCCTGTTCGCTCAGTTAAAGCGGATTTAAAGCCCAGTTTTCATCAAATAATGTATTATTTTCATAGCTACATGGAAGGAAGTCTTACCATGAAAATCCAGAGAAGCCTAGTCCATCAAGTAAAGCCGGGGTCGGTGGACCTTTTCAATTTGAGAAAATCTGTTGTACCGTAGAGTAGGAGCCACTAGTCTCTCAGCCAATACTTAACCATGTGCAACATGCCTCCTCTGTCAACAATACTGGGAGGTGAAACTCATTTTGTCATGGTGACGCGGTTTTCCACATCTCCTTATAAATGCATCCAACACCCCGAGCACGTTACTGTAACTCCACCCAAGTCCGTCTTAAAGGGGAAAAAATCCCCCTAAAACCATTAGAAATACTAAACAACATTAGGAAAAGTAGCGTATGGATTATAAAGCAACAGTGGTGGGACATAATTAGCCAACATGTGTGTGTTTTTATACCTTAAATAGCCTACTTTAGGCTATGTATTTTTTAATCCACTACTAGCCTATTCACCGACAACAAGTCAATTACTATCCAGATTAAAATTTTACATTGAAAACGTATAGGCGAAGGCATAGTCTCATTCAATATGATGCATTGTTCTTGATACTTGTCCGTAATGGAGTAAAGGATTTCAGTACTTAAACCGCCACTGTTAACCAGAGAAGTTATCAGCCTGGTAGATATTCAGTTAAAAACATATAGGTCAAATAAGCCCATATTCACACAGAAACTCACTCCAGGTGCAGCTATCATCTGCCACTAAATGTGTGTCCTCACTGCCAGTGGATGATAGACATGGGACTAGCCTACTTCAAGGGTTTAACTCAAAAATGTGTTTGCTCAATACTATTGAGCGCTCTTAGCATTTCATTTATTCCGAGATAATTTATTGAATGTTCATAAATCAGAAAGCCATATGTCCATTTTTTGTTTCCCCTTCACAAAGCTCTGAAGGTAAAATAGCAACAATGCCCAGAGACCTCCACAATTAGAATCATTTTATCTGCCTTGTGTAATGAGTCTATGGGAAATTGCCCTTCATAGGCAGTAAGCAATTTTGGTCTGACCTGAGTGGGAGTCAGAGCGTGTGGGTGGCGTTTGGAGTGAGTACAATATACGACTGATAGAGAGGAACAAGTATGAGACTGGCAGCCCAGTCATGGTGGACGAGGACTTGTTTTGAAGCCTGCATGTCACATAGGAGTTCAATGTCTGTGTTTGTCTTCCCCCACGCCAAGAGAGGCAGAAGGACAATACAGGAGGCCATTTAGTAGAAAATAACAGGGAAGTGAGTGCAGGCTGTTCTTGGTTTTACCACAGAGTCAGCCAAATTGTCTTTTTACTGCGATAACAATCCAAATAAATCCTCAGGCAAACAAACACTTTTAATATTGTTAAGTGCTGAATAAAATTACTACCTCATCAAAGACTTGCCAAATGACCCTGTGACCTCTCTTCCTTTTGTCCTATTGTTCAATTGTTCCACTGTTGTAATACTCTAATAAAATCCCTCCACGGTCATATATGGATTAAGGAGTGTCTTATACCTATATGCTTACTGTAAATCATAAACCCACAAAAGAAAGATGTAATGTGCCTCTATTGCTGCAATCGACTGTCCCTCTTCCACCAAAGTCATTTGTTTGCTTATAGGAATACTCATACTTAATGAGCTGTTTGATCAACTTTCTGTTGTGCAATGAAGTATTTGGGAGCATGTGATTCCAGTGTGACACAAAGAGGTTAAAACTGGTGTCAGTCGTCACGCTGCACAAGGCTTCGTTTTTGAAGAGTAACGGTACAGCTCACGTCTTGATTTTGAAACGTTTGCAATCCCTTTAAAGGCCTTAGTCTTGTAATTTGTTCTGTTTTGTTGTGTGGAGGTGACACGGCACAATCCAAATTAAAAAATTTTTGTGTCGCTCTGCTGTTTATCCGCCACCCTCTGTGGGCGCTTGTGGCGACCCAGGATGCTCAAAGCTGTGGGGGTTGTTGTCGGGGTGGGCCAGTCTCCCACAGGGGAGGTCAAGTCATTTCCTGCTCTGAGAGACCTCTGTCCCTGACAGCTGTCAGTGCAGTCAGAAGTCCACCTCCCACATCTGTAACCCCCTACTCCCTCCCCGTGCTTTTTTTCAAAGATGATGGATTGCTCTGAAGAAAGTCCTCTCATGTTGCTGCAAAATATAAGCTACCAAAGCTGGACCCAAATCAAGGCCTTTGATTTATGATTTTTTTAATAACTCAATTTGACAAAAGACAAGAAACACTGAGGTTAAAGAAGTAATCAATAGTCGATAATAAAAACAGCTGCAATAATTCCTTAAATAGAAAACCGAATTGGTAGAGCAGATCTGTTTCACATCTCTCCAATAAATGCTGTGAACAGCAGATAACCCCTGAAATGAGACATATCTCAGAAGATAAATGTCTGCCCACCACTCATTTAACAATGTCTCGAGCTGGAATAGGAAATGAAATAGGTAGGTGTTAACATACGTGTTCTATGGTAAATACATTTGTGTAGGATGATGTGCTGACATGGTGACACAGGGAGTTCTCTTATAGAGGAACCAGCTGTGTACAAACATGTAATAGTAATTAGAGCCCCGTTACTGACTGCCGACAGACAAGCCTGCTGCTGTTTTCAAAGTCACGGTCGACCTATCTTCTGTTTGAGTTTCACATTCCTTGTAATCGGAATGCTGTCATTCCTGTGAATCAATGTTAAAAGCTGTAACAAATAAAAAATACTTGTATCACAGCTACGTTTATTAGATATAAAATAGATGATTATGTGAAAATGCCTAAGCTGCAACTGCTATGTGTGTAAGAAGTTAAAATTTACTATCCATTTAATCATCAAGTTTTTGAGTAAATGAGTAAACTCTGTAGTAGGGTACCAGAGCTGAAACAAGGGGCACCATCAGTCAAGTCTGGATTGAAGTTGCAGTAATTGTGAAAAACCAGAGAAAATTCTTATGAAATTCGTAGGTCTAGTTTATTGTTACCACCCACCACTTCCTTAAGCCTGACGTGGAACAGTCATGTTTGACATTTTTATTTTAAAGTAGACTGTCAAACAGAGAGTATACATACACACATATATGTATTTTTTTCTTTCTCATGAATTTGTTTTATAAATAAGGGATAAAGAAGTTCACAAAAGTTCTGAATCAGTGCCATTCATTCAGACGTTATGCGTGATTTGAAAAACACACCCTTCGTTTAATCTTTCTTAATTTAATGGATTTGCGGTTGGGTCTGACAAGTTGGAGGCGTCGGGAAGGAATCGGGCTCCTCAAATGTCTGAGTGGGCTTCGCACCACGGCCTTTGACCTCATCCTGTGAGGAGACAGCTCAGTTATCAAAGAGCCAACAGCCACCGGGAGGAAGAGGAGGGTGGGCTGAAGAATGATGTTTGTGCTGCCTTTGATTGCTGGGTAGCTCAGGAACTGCACTGAGGACCAAAAGAAAAGACTATGAAAACTATTCTGATGCTATATTCATTCTTTTAAATTACACAAATGGCATTACATGCTGCTAATGTGTCCTGTGAACAAATATAAATATAAATATAGCTACAATAACAGCTTTAAGTGCCGTGGTGCAAGAAACTAGATACTTTTTTTCCCACGGTACCAACAGAGAAAGTCAGCGCGCAAAGAAATGATTGAGGAAGTGGCAAGGATTAAAGTGATTTAAACCGTGTCACATCTGATTTCATGGTGATAGTTTCAATGAATGGCCGAGCATGAAAAGAGCGATTCTTTGCCCAGGATGCAGCACAGGAGGCCCGGGCAGCTTCCCTACCAGTGGATTTCAGGCCTCAATGTGGGCAGAGGGTCTGCAGGCCCAGCGGGTGGCCTTCCGCAACCACGTGAAGCTGATCCCGGTTCATTAAGAGTTTCAGTTGAAATGAGTGAGGAAACAGGCTTTGCACTTTAATCCCCAAAAACTGTTTATGTGCAATGGATTTGACTTTATATCATGTCGCTCCTCAATAGAAACTGTCTGCATAAATCACCATAACATCAGAGTAAAAATTATTATTTGTTGGCACTAACACAAGATTGCTCACCAGGACATGGACATACTGAGTGTTTTTCATTTTGGCTAAACGGATGTGACGGGAAGACAATGTCAATATTTGCTTGTCTTTGCACTGTTCACAAATTGTTCTGAGGTCAAAGTCTTTTTGAATCACCACAGTACATACAGGGTCACATTTCAAGAAGGCAACGGAAGATAGTCAAGTTAGGTAATATTGTTGTCCAACCGCTGATTATTTACTTTGTGTGTGTGTGTGTGTGTGTGTACACGTCATGACTCTATTGTGCAAAGTGGTGACTGGGTGTGGGTGGGTGGGTATGTGGGTATTGGGGCCATCTGTCTTTTCACGGCCTCCACATTTCCTCATAAAATCATCTCTCATCATCACTATGTCTTCTACCATCACATAGCTCAGGGTCCTGAGGCATGACAATCTTGCTTTTTTCCTTACTTTATCTCTCCTATCACTCCCACCCTTCTCCCTTTCTTTCTCTCACCTTACTTACTCCCGCACCATCACTTCCTGTTGAGTCACCAACAGCACCAGACTGCATCATGTTTTACACTTTACTGTTCCCCTCCTTGCTTTCCTCCTCCACTTCCTTGTTCACAGATGCCTCTGCCTTGTAACAGAGAAAAAACGCAGTGTGGCAAAATAACAGCCCTCAGACATTAGTTCATTAGTGCATAAAAATAGTTAGAGTCTGAAAAAATTCAAGTAGGAGTCTCTTCCTGGCAACATGACTGATTCATACAGTAAATGACTCGGAGGATCTAGGATTATTAGCTCAGCAGAAAAGGCACCATATCACTCTTCACAGCATGTAATCATCGTCTTTATCATTATTGGAAAAAACAGAGCTTCAAGAAAAAAAGTCAAATGAAAGACAGAGAAGAAACAGAGTTAACTGATAAAATAAAATGGAAAACATTTACATAACTTTTCCATTAATGTTGAATATGGAGCTGATTTACCTCCTTGGTAAATACTTCCATATTGCTACTGGCTATTTGCAGACATTTCCCAGTAAAGTGGGAGGAAGTGATGCTGTGATGAGGTAAGGCCTCACGTAAACGTAGGCAGTGCGTGCTTGTGTGTGAGGGAGGGTTGAGGGCAGGGCTCTGAGAAACGAAAGGACTCTGTGGTGGACTGGTTGAGTCATTCAAAATACAGCTGCTGACTCAGTTTGCAAACTTGTCTCCAGGAGCACGTCGCCAGTCTATCTGGAATTTTGTGTGTATATGTGTGTGTGTCCAACCTGTTCTTGTGAGGACCAATCATCTTCATGGAGACAGAATAAGAGAGGTTAACATTGTTGTTTCAGTTTCAGTCAGAAACATCTTGTTTGCTTAAAAACTTTTAAAGAATTATCATGCAATACTGCTTTATTGATAAAGTGCCAAATCAGAAGACGGTAGGTATCTTAAGGCACTTTTCGTGATATAGAACATGTCAAAGAGACATAACAAATGCAGATTACATCGAATGGATAATGAAGCTTTGCCCGAAGGAGTGCCAATTCTCTCAACTGCTGTAATCCTGTCCTGGCACCAGGACAAAGTTTTTGTGTGATTCAATAATTTCGTAATTTCTTCAGTTTTCTCTACAACTTCTTGCCATAATAGTCTTAAAACTGTGTCAGTCCAATGTTATCCATCTGGGTGTATGGACACACTCCAGAATTAGTCATCTTGGATGCATTGTAAGGTCAAGGAATGGTGTTCTGTTGTTGACATTATCGTGTTCAGAGGGTTATTAAGAGGGACACCTCCCTTCACGATGGAGTGTAATTTCCTGATAAAATAGCTGGGTTGGTTTACACGAGTGTGATGCAATATGAGTCATTTAAGACTGTGTGTACAGTACTTACCTGTTTAGTTTTAACAACTTGTTCAGATTTTATTACAATAAAACTGATAAGAAACAGGGGGGAAAAACATAAAGATGGCAAAAACAATGTGCAGCAGCTGTTTATGGAAAGATACCTGCAGGCATCATTTGCCTTAGCAAGTTTAGAACATGTATATAACAAGTTTAGACCGGCAATCCAGTCCCTAAGGGGGCTATTTCCTATAGCAAGAAATGTTAATTTTTACCAGGATTGTTTCCTATTACAGATTAAGACCATTCTTGACATTTTTAATTGCTTCCAGTAAAGAGAAAATACCTTGATTTGCTATCTGAAGCCATCTTGAGCACTGATAGTCATAAGAACAATAATGTTACCCTGTGCTAATTTCTATTTTTTTGTTAACATATTTGTGATACACATTTATTATAGCTACAAAATATTCAACAGATAATTAATTTCATTATTTTTACTCTATTTGATGTATTTTACGTCTCTGATGATGAAATATAGCTAACAAACAGCAAAGTTCTCCATATCAGCAGAACGCTTCTGGCTTGGAATTCTAAATAACAGCTATGTTAACGGTTGTAACTGTTTTATTAGGTGCACGTAACAGTTAACGTTACGGATAAGCACGTTTTGATACATATTGGTGTCCATCTATATCACTCGAACTTGTCTTAACTTTTATCTATCTGGAGCTTTGACAGCTAGTTAGTTACTTCCAGATAGTTAAGTAAACCGAAATCAATTAAATATTTTAGGCTAAGTAATGCTAACGCTAATTCAGTTAGTAGGCTAGCCGAGTTTGGCTAATGTTAATTAGCCAACCTTAAATTAACTAACGTTAGTTTGGTATTTAACCTGTTGTAATATACTAAAGCTAGTAACGTTAACGTTATAGTATTTTTTAGTTAATTAGTGGCTAATAACCAATGAAAGTTAGCTTAACATTAATTAAAATCAAAATGTATCCCAGTTAACCTAGCTTAGTTCTAAATTGAAAGTAACGTTAAGTTACTGTCAACATGTTTACGAAGTTAACAACAATCTGGTAAAGCTTTAACGTTAACTTTTGTTTATTCTTCAGTCTCAAGGCAGACAATTCAACATGAGTCGGAGATCATCTGCTGTCAGAAGTCAATCACTTGTGGATTATTGTAAGTTATTATTCAGCTGCTGCTATCACATCATGTCACTTCGTGTTTCCCAAACTCCACACAACCAGTTAGCCTTAATTGCCCTTCTGAAATGTAGACTTTATATAAAAAGGTCTGAACCAACAGCACACGTGCGTTTTTGTGTTACAAACATATTACTTGAGGGCTAGTAATCTAATTCATTCGTTAATTGATTAATTAATCTGATTAGCTAACTGTTAGGTACCACACAAGAAAAATAATAGAATATGCCTCCCTGCTATGTCCCAAGTAACATTAACGTTAATAAGTGATTAAACAGTAATTATGAAATGGGACTCAGCATATTTTTAATGCAGCAGAAACAGACCTGAACAAACTCCAGCAGCAGTATAGCAGGGCAGAGGCATCCATGCGGGCATATACAGAGAAAACCCAAGGCCTCATCATCAGGGACAGGTAAGTAGCGTCCTATTTGCCAGTTCTTGCAAACTCCATAGACACTTTACAGAGATTCGATGATTTTTTTTAAGTCCATGCTAAATATATTATATATGAAAGTAACAGATTTAATTATATAATAATCATTGAGACATGCTACAGCCATTTGTGCATAATACTAGTTTTCAGAGGAGAACAAGAGGGGAGATTAAATCAAAGGGGTAGGCATGTACAAAGATTCTGGGCCAGATTTAGGCTCTACACAGAAGTATCCCTCTGGAGGGTGCCTTGTAGATGCTAAGTAGTAGGCTAAAAATATGAAGTAAAAACAACAGCTAATACTAAAAATAATTTAGAACGATGTAGCTTTTAGAGGCATCTGTACTGGTTGGTTTCACGTTTGCCTGAGGCGTACCTTGTTGTATCTTCTGTAAGTTTTACATGTTTTATCTAAACTTCATGTGTATCTATGTGTTTGTGTCCCTATGTGATCAGGCGAGAGATTCAGAGGCTCCAGGATGAACGTGAAGACCTTTTATGCAGTCTCAGAGTGTCTCAGAGTAGTTTGAACCGTTGGGCTGATGCTAGTGTTGTTCAAGACCTCACTGCCACGTTGGCCTGTGGAGTTGGAATAGATGAGGAACTGGAAGCAGAAAAAGCCAAAGTGGCATCTTTGAAAGATGAGGTGAAGGTTGTTGTTCCAAGGACAATTAACAGAATACCCCATACAGTGAATTCCTTCTGATTTTCTTACCACATTTGACTCTACTTGTTGGCTTTGTTTTCAGATTATCAAATGGGAGAGAAAGTTGGCAGGACAGATAGCTGGTGGGGGAAATGCACGTCGTAGTATGAAATCTGAAAAAAGCAACTTACTTAAAACCACATGCTTAATAGAAAACAAACTGTACAGGGTTAGTGTTAGTCTTACTCCACCGTAACACCTGTAAATAGTAAACACAAATATTATTTAACCAAGGTATGTTTTTTTTCTAGGGTCGCAAATGCTTCAGTAAGCTGATGACCAGGAATGGAGAGTTGAGGGAGGAGCTGAAGACAATGCAGGTGGAGAAGAAACAATTCTTCCATGTTCAGTCTCGGCTAGATAAGGTAGGTTCACTTAACATTAGTCTGTTCTTGAATTAGCATTCCGCTGCTGCTACATGGTTAGTGAAGGGGTACTAAAGGGGTCATTTATTTTATTTAATTCATTTATTTTGAAACTGTAGACAGTTAACTTTGTTATTTCATCCAGGAGCTGCATGCAATTCGCAAGGATATTTGTAACCTGATGACTAAATGCACGGAAGCCTTCAATGCCAGGTAAACCTTTCTGCAGCACTCCAAATCTATCTGCATTTCTTGTGACCTGCTCTACACAATTAGATTAGATTAGAGTGCATATTCATATTTTTACTGAAAGATGAAGGAAGATGGATTTATTTTGACAGCGAGAAAGTACATATAAAGATGCGGTTGCACTCTTATTCAGCTGAGCATGCTAGCTGAGATTGCCACCTTCTTTAAATACCTTAAAATATAACGGAGGCCATCATTAAATGCCTTGATTTTAAATAAGAAATGCGCTTCATACAGTTGAGGCACACTTTAGTGTGTCTGCTTACTTTTTTCCTATAAATATTTTTTCCATAGCTAAAAGCTTAGATTCATGAAGATACACCCACTTTTTTATAAAAAATAAATCATCTTTTTTTAAATGTAATTTGTTGTCTATATTTGGCTACACCTAGTGTGAAAATCCAGGAAAAACAGAGGATGCTGATGGACCAGAATGCTAAGGATGTGACTCAGTACATCAAAGAAAAGAGCAACCTGGAATTAGAAATCGCCCATTACAGCAACTTTGAGGCTTTCCTAAACATAAAGGCTATTGCACGTGAAAACCAGGACATCGGCCACAGACAAGGTGACTATAAATCTCATGCTCTGAACACAAATTGAGTTTTGGCTCTTGCTATCCAGTGATCAAACCATGTCACGCATTTGAAGGGATCCAAATGTTATTTAATAGTTTTTTGGTTCAGCAATTTGAGTGTACAATGTTCTGTCATCCTGCTGTTGCCATAAAGTGTGGTAGTGTGCACCGCCAGTTACTTGAAAATGTTTCTTGCATTCTTCTGTTTGTTGTGGACATTTCTTGGCAACAGTTTAAAGATAAAGCAAAAGTATGTGCTTCATCATTACTGCTGTGGTATTCCATGGCATTTTGAGATCTTCCACTCTTAAATCAGAGTGAGAGTGTTTGCCACAACAGACCACTGTCACTCTAAGCCAGTTAAGTGTTGACTTCTAATCAGATAAACTAGCGACACCTTGTGTTTAAAAGATGTTACTTCTTGACTAACCAAACTCCTGGCAAAGAGGACAAAATGTTTTTTTTATTTACAAATTATATGTAAATATAAATAGTTATTAATTATATAATTCATTGTTTATATTTTATATTACAATATTACTACTATATAGCACAACTGTAGGTGATTTCAGTTCTGCAGAAGCTTTTTGGCACATTTATTAATTTTCTTTATCTAATAACTTTGAATCAATATGCCATTTTAAATGATAAATGTCTTTAGTAAGTTGATTTGTAATAAACTGGATGAGGAGACATTCATTAATACAAGTCCCTTTGGGAGTTCTGTAGCCCAAGACTAATACAAATAAGTACATTAAAGACCTTGTTGTGAATGAGGTTCACCTAAGTTTCACATTTGTCCCCATAGTGGAGAAACAGCAATTGGAGTCTAAGGAATTGGGACTTGAAGATTTTGAGGATGCTATCAAAAAAATCCTCAGCGAGACAGAGGAAAGTGACCTTGACAAGCTGGTCAGGAACTTCATACAAAGTAAGTCCCCATTAAACATTAAAGGAAGTTGTGCATTTTATCAGCAATCAAAATATGCTGTGAAATATTTCCATCAGTGGAGGAGCAGAACTACACTTTACTGAAATTTGTCAACTATCAGAACAATGAAGTAGAGGCCATTGGAAGGCAGATCTCTCAGGTTGGTATTTTCTGTGTGTGTGTGTGTGTGTGTGTGTGTTGGAGAGACAGGGAGTGAGATAAATGAGGAAAGTATATGTAATTGTGGTTGTACGCTGTCTTCTTAATTCTCGGACCAAAAGCTTTGCGATGAGAGAGAGATCTTTGTGGCTGAGGAGCAGCAGCAGCAGGAGCAGCATCACGATCTTCTGATGAGAGTTTCCATCAAGCAAGAGGCTACCGAGCAACAGCTGGCAGTTTATCAACAACGTGTTGAGTTCATGGAAAAGCTCCTATATCAGCTCAGAGACGGTACAGCATAGGGCACCCCTGCATAACATTATCCTTTTAAATGCGGACAACAGAAACATGGCAAATTGTATGATGCAGTTTAGAAATGCTTTTCCTGGACTAGAAGACCCATTTATTGTCATATGTAAATGTATAAAGGATATGTGCTTAGTGCTTAGTGAATGTCTAGTCCCAACACAGGACTTATTTAAAATGTGTATTGCACCTGAAAGCACTAGCATGAGGACTGCACGATTTAAACAACACAGACCATGTTAACAAGACAGTTGATGTTGCTTTGTGAATTGGTTTTAACCATACACCAAAGTGAGGGAAATTATGCTCTAGCACATTCGTGTGTCAAGTTAGCAAAAAACAAAAAACAAACAAACATCAAAGCCCACCTTCCAAAACGTAGAATTATAACAACTGGGTCAGAGTACATGCACAGAAGTATAAGCAGGCTGTAAATGCTTGTGTTCATTCATGTAAATCTGCTCTGTGCTGTGGAGCAACTGCAGCTGTAGTCATATGATGTTGTAGTAATCGGTGATAGTGTACATGAATAAGTATAGTAAATAGCTTATTACATTGTAGACAATAAGGATTTAATCTATCAGTGGGAGATAAAAAATAAACAGTCCCGTAGAAAGATTATAATTTTTGTTCTAATTTCCTTCTACCAGGTCTTAAGATATTGCTTCATATCAGCTGTGGTAGCTCAGTGATCTGCGGCCAATTGGGTTCCTCTGGTGGAGTCCAGGAAGAAAACATCAAAGAGAACATGACAATGGTGGAGGACAGAGTCAATGAGCTTCTCACTCTGCAGTCCTATCTTCATTTCCAGGACAACCTTAGCCAGTGGGTATGTGATTTGAAACGCTTTGTCGGTACAGAGTTGCAGACATACAGTAGTGTTTAGTTTCTAGCCTTTGCATATTGACAGCCTTCAGCATTTTAATGTACTTTGTCTCCTCCAGGACATTGACAGTCTTAGTACCACTGCTGAGCAGCTCCTGGGAATAAGCCCCCCAGCTGTCAACCTGACCACTGCTGCTGCGACCCCTGCGCCCGAGTAGGTGTTTTTATTTTATTTTGATAAGAGTGCAGGTATTAGATAACAGCATAGTAATTAATAAACCTCTTGTTACCTGTTTGGTTTGATGTATGCTTGAAAAAAATGCACAAATAAATTCAGAATCTCTGTGATGCCTCAGTGATGACCCAGACTTGGTGGAGTCAGTGCTGCTGGAGGCAAAGGAGCCAGTGAGTAGAGCAGATCTCTTGACACTGGTCAATAAGAGGGTGAGCATAACTAAAAAGGTCTTCCAAAAAAACCCAAAACAATTATATATATATATATATATATGTATATGCACACACTATGTAGACAAAAGTACTGGGACACCCCTGTCCAAATACTTTTGGGAGGGTTTTTTTCATGTTGTGGAAATCTTAACGCTACAACATACAATTTTAGACAGTAGTTCCTCCAACAGTGTGTTTCCTCTTTCAATATGACAATGCTCCCTTGCATAAAGCCAGCTCCATGAAGAAATGGTTTTCCCAGTTTGGTGTGTAGGAACTTGACTGGCCTGCACAGAGCCCTGACCTCAACCCTATCCAACACCTTTGGGATAAACTAGAGCGGAGATTGCGAGCCAAGCCCTCTCGTCCAACAACAGTGTCTGGCCTCACAAATGCTCTTTTGGATGAATGGGAAACAGTTCCCACAGACAAACTCCAAAATTCTTTAGAAGCTTTCCCAGAAGAGCAGAAGCTATTACAGCTGCAAAGGGTGAACCAACTCCATATTAATACCTATGGATTTAGAATGGGATGTCATAAAAGTAAAGTGTAGGAGTCCCAGTGCTTTTGTCCATTCGTGTACATATACTTTATACATGAGACAAATCTTTTAACTTTATAACACAAGTTATGAATCTCTAGTAGCCCACATGTAATTATCAAACTGTAACCCGGCTATGTCATGTAAAAGTTGCCTGTTCTTTTAAATTGATATTCCCATGTTAAAGCTCCACAAAAGATCATCCAATAGCAAATTTCATGAGAATTTTTGTATGGCCTGGCATATATGACATCCTTTATTTATCCCACAGATTCAGAGGAAAAAGAAGAGACTTACCTGATGAGCCGGTGCTGCTCGGTAGAGCTGCCATGAGGTCCTGCATACTGAGCCACTGGAAACAAGTCTGTGCTGACCTTTTACATGTTCCAAGAGCTATTTTATAGTATGCTTTTTTTAGTGAATGTTTAGATAGACACAATATGGTGTAAAGCATTGCTGCATCAGTTATTGAACAGGAAGTAACCTGCTTATATTAAATATTTACTTTAAGGAAGTATGAAATCTATGGGCATACGTATGCATAATGTGTATTTATGTGCAGTAGTTCACAGTCAGTGATACTTGTGAATTCAATAAATGTATTTTAGTTAATTTATTTATTCTCTCAGTGGCTCAGAAGCATTTTGATTTTTCATTTAACCCCTGAGCATTTCAAGAAGCCGTTGGGAGTGACAGATCAACTGGATTCAACCACATACAGTAATATCATGAGATACAGTATATACTACACACTGATACAGTCATATTGTGTGTTGGATGACATTAAAAGACACATTAAGAGCAAACACAGATTCAGCAACTATTTATATTACACAGATTCACAATGTTTTAGTAGGAATAATGAGTACTTCCCATTAACATTACTTCCTCATACAATTATAAACATGACATACAGAACAACAAATTATCAAGTTCTTGGCATAGTGCTTATTTATGTAATTTAAAAACTAAACAGGTTCACTTATTCACTTCGTCACAAATCCCTGAGCAATATTAACTAAATAATCAACCTGATTGCACTCAAAAATGTGGCCCTATACTCATTGATTTTTAAGGTGAGATCATTTTCCTGTCAAAAGTGTTTCTTTAGTCATCTAGTTCTGGCTAACGTTGCCACAGTACACCACCCTGCTCTCCAGTCGCGAACGCTCAGCTTCAAACACCAACAGATGGCTCTGCAGCGTCTCCTCAGGACCCGAGAGGATCAGGGATGGATCATTGTTCTACACTCACAGAAACACAGAGAGACACATCACTAACCAACCATCCCAGTCAGTGTTAATCTGTCATTATTTATTATTAATGTTCCCAAACAACTGTCAATCTAAGGTAAAGATTTAAATAAATCAAAGCTATTCATATACTGCAACAACCAAATGAGTAAAAGAAGGAGAAAAATAAACGGGAAACCATACACTGACAAAATATAACATTAACAGTATTTATGAGCACTCACCGCCACAGCAGAAATAAAGGCATCCATAAGGTGGTAGTCTGCTCCACCATGCCCACTCAGGCCAAAGCGACAAGGGACATTATTGCGTGCCGTGTGCTTTGTGGATCTCTGGGTCAGAAAGTCAAACACGCGTATCTCATGGCCATCATATGACAGCTCCCCCTGTGAAGACACAGTTGTGTGGAGTGGAGTTAGATCTAGGCAACAAATACCACAATATGACTTTGTTTGGTCTCGATACAGAGGCTTACATTTGTGGGGGGGGGTTAAAATTGTTATTTTATAAATTGTGCCACATTGGATTGATAACATCAATATCAAGGTACAATATGGCCAAGGCCTTGTCGCCCAACATCAATGCACAACATCACTGATGCTGTTGTGGCTGGATGGGATCAAATCTCTGCAGCTAGATTTAAAGGCTTGTGGAAAGCCTTCCCTGAAGCATGGAGGCTTGTTTTTCATTGTAAATTAGTGCCTGTGATTTTGGAATATGTTCAACACTCACATATGTGATGTTTGAATGTCCACATACTTTGTAATTCATAATCACCCCCTTCTATCTACAATTTATACACACACATTTGGTTAGTTAGAGTTACTCGATGATCTGTGAGCCAGAAGCTGATGTATCTTTTCCCTGCTGGCGCCTTTTCTTTGTAGAACTGCTTGTATGTATTAATGCAAAATTGTAGCATTTCCTTATTTTCTGCAATCCCTTCCAGTCCTACCTTGCTGCCATAGATGGTTGTTTTTCGCTTGCAGAGCTCCTCGGTGAATGCCACCATTGAAAAGGCTGCCGTCAGACCCCCTTCAAACTCCATGTTCACAACCTGTCAAGCGGGACATATAAACAAGACATAAGGGAAAAAACTGTCACGCTTCTTAAATGTAAATAATGACCTTAACATAAGCTGTATAAAAGAAGTGGATGTAGCCAACATGACATCACCCATTGGTTTGTGGACTATCTTTTTAAAGCCACAAGTTTGGCATATTGACCGTCTCTATCTTGTTTTTGTTTGTTTTTTTAACCAGAAGCGACTATATTTGGACAGGAGGGTGGAACTGGGGAGGGATACACTTTGTTTTCTAACCTGGTTACTGCAGACATCGTTGTCACACTCGTAGACACAGCGGCCGTATGGTCCAGTCCTCAGTGCCTCAGTTACTGACTCGATGTCTGGGAGCGAGCTCGGGCATATGACTGATACAGGCCAGCCAGTGTGACCCTAGCACATATACACACACGTACAGTACACATGAAATGATGTATAGCAAGTAAAATAGGTTCACGGAAGTAAAGTAGATCATTGGTGAAAATAATGTGTTAAAATGTTAACCTGTTTCACACTATTCAGGTAGATTTTGGATGCTGAGTATGGACAGTCTCTTTCTACTGAACAATCCAGGCAGCGATCTGCAGCACCTGTTGGCTGACAAAAAACTAGCAACGTCACATTTTATATTCATGTTTAGTATAGAGATTTCTGTTAGCACTAATGTTTTTATGTCGTCATTGATAAAACGACACAAAAACACAACTCAGCAACGTTGAAAATGATTTAACAGCAGTAATTTGTGCCGTTTCCCATAGCATAAAGATCTGCAGTAAAAATTATTCATTTGTAGAACTACAGACAAAATACAATTAGAAAAAAAACTGTTCAGCTGCAGTGGTTGCACTGTGAACAAGCCACACACCTTGTTTTCTTTTCGGAAGTGGCTGACAGATCCAAATGATGACACTTTCACACACCTGCCAAGTAATAGCAGTGTTAATGATTCCGCTTAGGAAAAACTCACAGAAAACAACCTTTGAAACACAGAGACTGTGGTCCAACAAAACCACCAGGGTCTAGTTCCTGCTGGCACTGTTTGAATAGGCATTCCACAAGTTGAAACATTTGTTTCCCCCTGTTGACCAACCAACTTCTTTATTTTAGTGTTAATCTTACTTCTGAACATGAGAAGAGCTTGGAGTTGATTATTGACTGCTGTCTGATGGTTTACCTGCGCGTTCCAGCCCAGTGATGTATTAGGTCAATGTCATGGCATGATTTAGCCAAAAGAGCAAAAGAGCTTTCTGCTTCATTCCTCCAGTTCCCCCGAACAAATGAGTGAGCAAAGTGATAAAACCCAACCTGGAACAAGAGATTGAAAAGACTTGTGTAGACCTAACATATATTTAAAAAAAATGCATGTGCTAAAAGCAAGAATAGTGTTACTATTTAATGAATGAAGAGCCCTGAGGATTATGATTCTTACCGGCTCAAGGTGCTGAATATGGATCACATCACCCACGACTCTAGCATCTATTAGCTCCTGGAAATAGATCAATTCATTAAATTTTTTTTAATTTAACTTGGATATTGTGATTTTCTTCACTACTTGACCCAATGTTAGAATAATATTCAGTGTTTGGAAATGAGTAATTGCTCTCCTTAAAACTCAACTACACGTTAAGGTATCCAAATTGACATTTTTAAACCCAAAACTGTGACCCATGCCGGGTCAAGAAAACGATCAAACGCAAAGTGCGAGAGAAAGTGGTCACCTTTATCTTATGGATGACAGGATCATACCGGAGAACATGACCCACTGATAGCATCACACCATTCTGAGTGCAAGCCTCCACAATCGACGTGCAGTCTTCTGCAGTTGTCTAAAGTCATGGGAACACGTTAGTGTTGCGAGAAACACATGAGTGTTACACAGATGCAGTCACAGAAAGGAAAAGAGAGAAGACAGATTTTGTTTTTCAGAAACTGACACTTTGAATCATTAACACCCATACCAAGGTTAACGTTACACTCTATGCTAAGATGGTTAGTGTTTATTTACGGAAAACTTACTGCCATTGGTTTCTCCAGCAGAACATGGTATCCCTTCTTTGCAAAGGCCACCGCAGGTTCCTGGGAAACACAAACTAGTTTAATAGACCGATAATGAAGTGTACACAGAAGACTAAAACTGAGAGTTACTCATATATAGAGAATACACATAGATGGTATGTTTACCTTATGAAGGCGGTCTGGGGTACAAATTAACACAGCATCCGCAAACTTCTCTCTTTCAACTATACTGGGCCAGTCTAGTTTGAGCAAAAGAGCGTTCCATATGTTAGTATGAGGCAGATAATTATAAACAATTAAATTCATTTTTTTTCTTTTGATGCTCACCTTCAAATGTGTTTTCATCTACAATCTTGTGTTGCTGTTGAAGTTTAGTGCGAGCAAATTTCCTTGGGTCAGCTACTCCAACAACCTGAAATGGTGAAGTTGAGTAAATGAAGTTGGCATAACAAGTACTCTGTAGATTAACGTAGAACAGTTACACTTACAACAGTGTGTAATATTTCTGAGGATTTATTAACAGAAATGCAATATAATATCCAAAGCAATATTTTCAGTGGCGTTTAAAGACCTTACATAATGAAGCGTTATGTTTTTATTACCTTAGAATGAACCATTTCGATCTACACACACACACACTACACGGACATTGCTATGTTGCACTGCCATGTTAAAGTAGCCCAAAACAGACAAACAGCTCTACAGAGTGCATTTCATCACTACATTTTTCTTCTTTTAGTTTTTGGCTACTGTAGAATCATGATGACCTCCAAGTAAGGGAGGCAAGGTGTATGTACATAGAAATGGCTGGCTCATTCTAAGGTAATAAAAACATACTGAAAACATAGTTAAGGATTTTATATTGCATTTCTGTCAATAGTTTCTCAGAAATATTACACACTGAACCTTAAAGTGAATTACATTTTGCAAATTCATTCTCTGCAAGTGAACACAGAATGACCACCACAATACTGTCCCCCTGTTACTCTATTAGAAGTCCCTCTGAACACGCCCCTGGACTGTTCCTCCAGTCACATGACTCAGGAAGTAGCATACATTTTTGGATGGAAATCACCTACAAGAAGCAGATTTAAGTATCACTCTATAATCAACCTTTTTTTTTTTTTTTTTTTTTTTTACAGTGTTTTAGAAAATCTGGTATGCTTACTTTTTTAATAGAAAATTATTTTTAACAAATAAATGCATTATAAATAAATAATATATACCAAAACATGCTGGAAACATTATTCATCTACATAGCCTTCTTACATCCACCCTATTACATGTGCCAGGAGGTACATTTTATGCTGAAGTCGGCCATTACTACTCGTGATGAACAACAGGCTAGTACGTGGTGAACACAGAGGAAGATTTTTAATATGTTTGGTAACCATATATTCAAATTTACAAACATTTTGTATTTTTCTACTATAAGTAACCATTAAAAAGTGGATGTTATGCTTTACCTTAACAGTAACTCATTCTTAAACATTGAAAAAAAGAGATTTATTTATTTAAGAGTGATACTTACTCTGCTTCTTGTAGATGATTTTCCACCAAAAATGTATGCTACGTCCTGCGAATCATGTGACTGGAGTGGAGTCCAGTGGCTGTTCAGAGAGATTTCCATGAGTAACAGGGGGGACAGTCGACTCAAGGACACAACATATTTTCAAGACTTTAAGCATTAAAAATGTACTGATAACAACAAACAAGTTTGTGGAATATTGCAAATAGGGCAATACAACTATGAAAAATGTAGAATTTGTTAGATTTTTATTATATTTGTAACTGAAGTTGAGCGAACATGATTGGGGACATGGCAGTTCAGTCTACTTGTGCTAAAATCAAAGTAATTATTTTAAATGAATTAATCCTGGGCACATAGGCCTATCATTGTTTTCTATAGAAGGGTGTTCATAATGTAAAACAAGCTTTTAGAAATAACTATTAGTCCATTTTTACACAAAAGTATGGTGTACCATATTATGTCATGGGGACTCAAATGTCAACGTACCAGGAATGACCAATGATTAAAATCACTTACTATACCTTTAAGCAATACAAGAGGGAAACATACTAGTAAAATAGTAAAAGTCCTGTATTTAAAATGTAAAAAAGTATTATCAGCTAAAGGCTCATGAAATCTCTCCAGACCTTCACTCGTTCAGGGTGGATGGATGCAAACTGGGAGTAGATCTCCCCTCGGCTGCCAGCTCCCACCACGATGACACGGACAGGTGAAGTCATTGTGGCACCCTGTGAACTTTGACACCAAAACAAGCTATCAGACAAGACACACCTTTCACAAAGCCTGAGGTAAATAACCTCTCACCAGTCAGAGGGGGACACATCTACAGTCTCTGTCTTACTGTCATACTTACTATAATCTGGTGAGTTGTTCAACACATTTATAGTTCTCTATGGAGATCGGTCATGGTTTAAAGGTCAACTAAATTAACAGTTTAAACACCCCTTTCCTAATGCGCTGATTAAAGACCTTAACAGATACAGAGGATGTGAGAGCAAGTAGTCCATTAAAATGTGTTAAACAGTGTTTATTGTTTATTGTACCTGTTTTGTCCCATACAGCTGTCAATACCTTACGTCGGTCTTCCGCATCGGTCCAATTTTACCCAGAAACGGCAACAAAAACGTCTGGAGTGGACTACTGACGGCTCCGAGCTGGTGCTTCACTTCTTCGAACAAAAAACAAACGCAAAGCAGTCAGAAGATTGTGTAGCGCCCTCTACTGTGTGCACTCGTGAACTGTTAGTTTAGCTTGAAAATAATAAATTAACCATATTTCACCCGCTTGGGCCCATTTGTTCAAAAGTAATCTAATCGGATTTCCGCTATAAGATTGGATCATATCTTGAAAATGGTTTGTTCAAAAGAAAAAAAGGATCCTGAAATCGGATCATATCACTTCATCCAACCCTGGTTTTGATCTGGATCAAACCTTCAGTTTGTGTTGTTCTTTTTAATAGGATTGGGATCCCTTTGATCAAAAAATAAATAAATAAACCAATTCTGTATTATCCTGATCCCAACAGAAGGGTGGATTCAGGGTGGATTTTAGGAACAAAATGCCATAAAACCTTAACATTTTTATCATGTAGTAGCCTATATAAACTTTTATTTATATTTTCCCTCTTGATGTCTTTAAACTTTACCGTGATAAAATAGACATTACCAAAGCCATTCAGTACAGTAAAGTAAAAAAATAAATAATCCCCCAAACAGTTGTCGATATCAAACAAAAATAATGTATTTAATTTCAACTGTTACTTATTACTGTACATTAATTACAAATGCACACTCAGAGGTGAACCATTCAAAAGTAGTTTGTAACAAATGCATTCCTTATTGCAGGTCCAGTCAGTCCCTCATTCTGAGATTGCCTCCTAAAAGCTGCTCTCTGAACTCTGAATGATCTTTATTTTAACTATTGGACTATTTTACTACTATTAGACAGATTATCTGTGAATAATGATTATTTGTGTGTTTTTCTTGTTTTTTTGTGGGTCAGATGGTCAGATTGTTTAAAGAAATTGGAAATGGAAGGAAATATTTGTGTTGTTTTATTGTGCATTTTCTGTCTCTTCAAATAAAAGTGACCCCATACTGGCTGTTTTACCTGTTGGTCTTTATCATATCATTATCATCATATCATTAACAGCTTACGGTGTGATATGAAGCCCCATTTAGAGCACTGGAAATCTGGATTTGGTAAAAGTTTGTTCTGGATCAGGATGTTCCAATCCAATGTTGCTTTGAAAAACCGGCACAAAAGTAAGAGGGGTTATGTGATCCTGGATAGCAAAACATGGGGTTTCCAAATCCGGATCATTCTGATCCAGATTAAACTTTTTGAACAACTGGGCCCTGTGGAGATTTTCAGTCATGTAGGTAATAGGGTCTGTACCAGAGAGCTGGATTTGTTGTTTTAAAGAGTTTCACCTTTAATATGGTGATTGTTTGTTTTTTTTGAAAAATGTACAATAACAAACATTAACAGATATATGCCAAGGGTAAAGGGATAAAAATAAAAAAGGTTAGGCAATGTATACAGTACATTGATTATGTTTGGGATTGGAGAGTGCTGAATAGTTTGCATGTAGACCTACCTTTGCACTTCATTTATAAACATTATAAACATGCTGAGATATAAAAGATTTATAATAGGCTATAATACTGTTTTTTTTCTAAACTGCAGACATAATAAAAAAAACAAACAGCACATTTTTTTTATAGTAAACGAGCAGAAAATTTACACTGAATATACTGAGCAAATTCATTCCAAAAAAATAATCATTTCTTAGTTTTTGCCAATACTGTTTTGCTGGATATCATCGATTGAGAAGTTTAAAACTGACTTCTTCAGGTTGGTTTGTAATTAAAAGTATCTTGAAGACAAGCACCAAACTTGTTCCCGCCCAATAATGGATTACATGCGGAAGTGTATTTTTGACAGAGGGGTCTGATTCTTGTGTTCAGTGCGCTTAACATCTTTCTGTATACTGGTGGGAAATTATGTCGTTGTCACATGAGCATTTGACAGCAGTCATATGACACTGATAAAAGCATACTGGTGCGACGTATTTCACGTCTCTTAAACCAACAGAACCATTGATCTGCTCAAAGTCCGTTGTCATTTTGGTATATTTCTGACAGCAATGAAAGCAATATTTCAGCTACCTGTTCAGAGTGTTAGCCTACTTGTGTGTTTTATGTAACGTTATATCGACTGCTACTCCTCCTCTACAACACTCTCCATCTTAGAGTCTGTCTCGTTCACGGATTAATTCTTACAGGGTAATGAAATACATCTTAGGTTTGATACATAGTTCGGACCATGATGGCTGTATCAGAGACAAAGGAACCAGTGCATAACACTTTATATTTTCTGATTTGTAGAGTCAAACATACTAGTTTCACATAACACATTTTGCAGTTAGCAGATAAAGATGAATAAATACCTATTATTCTTTATCTGTCAGCTATAACGTTACAGTTAATTTAAGTCTTAAATTACCTATTTAGCTGCTGAGAGCAGTGTCAAAGAAGTCTTCAATCCAACAAACACATGACTTTTGGTTAGACTAGCATTAGTACCCGTATGGAACTGTAGCGTATCCTCGGAAATATTCGGCTACCTTCGGCAAATCCGATCCATACGGTAGAGTATGAGAGTCACATGCGGTCACATGACGCGATTAGCTCTGCAGCATGAACTCAGCTTTCTGCTGCACGGTTAACGTTACATTAGCTACGAACGTTTGATGCTAGCTAGCATTTGATTCTGTGATTTAACATTCTCCGATTACAAAAGTAGATTTACTTCACAACACAGTATTTTGTAGAAGACAAGTCTTAGAGCTGTATAACACGGAATCGCGCTTTTGGGCGTATTTCTTCGGCATTTCTCTGTGCTAGCTAGCTACGGTTAGCGCGTTAGCTAACATTAACATCATGAATATTGACAACGTTAATCAGTCTGTCACAACTGGAGTGTCATCTACGCCGTCTTCAACTTCAAGTAACTGTATCGCAAATGATAATGCAGCAACCAACGTTAGCAGCATCCCTTCGGTCACCAGTAATGGTAACGTTATGTGACTTTAGCAAATGTTCATGTTATGCTAAACACTTGGTAGGATGTTTGTGCTACTGAAGTCAGATTATTTGTTTGGTTGTCAAAATATATATGCAAGTACGTTAAGATTTTTTTCATGCATCATCATGTGTGTTCCTGGAAGTTTGTAGAACCCTCTTAGCAAACAGGTTTTGGACTTTGCACAATCTCAGTGTAGCTAGGCAATACTGCAGACAGCTTTCCCTAAGATTAGAAACTAACGTTTTATTATTTGAAAGGAGCAGATAGGTTTACTTTTCTGTTTCTTTGATTTAACATAAAGTCATCCCTGAACACTTTCATTACAGCTTCAGCGGCCATGGTGACACCGTCAGCAGACACATCTGTATCTAACGGTGTCTATGTCCCTGGTGGCATCACCAATGGAGATGTAAAGCCCGCCTTCTCCACCACCCCCTTGGCAGATTTCCTCATGCAGCTGGAAGACTACACTCCCACAGTAAGTAAAGTTTTGTCAGTCAGCTTACCAAATGCTGCTTTCACAGGTAGGGGCCACATCGTCAGAAAGACCAAGGGCCTCATTTATAAAACTGTATGGAGAAAAGACTACTAAAGGTGGTTCAAAACACAGGAATTGTACATAAGGTACATAATTTCCCCCCGTTTGAAGAGAGTGTCAACCAAATGCGTTCCACTTGTGTTTTTTTATTTATTGAGGCTACACAAACACAGTGTTATTTTTCCATACTGTGTTTTTACAAGCAGCGCATACGAAACTGTACACTCGTATTTGCTCGACTGAGGCAACGAAAATGGCATCAATTCAAAAACTGTTTGTCCTTCTGTTCACCTTATTTATGAGAATAAATTGCACTGTATTCTATGCAAACACAGATATCTGTTTATTAACCTAAATCATGTCATCATGCGCTGAAGTCAGATGGATGCTAAAATCCTGTAAATCCAATATTGCCATGTAGCAGTCCTGCTGGAGAATTAGCCTCTGTACAAACAGTAAAATAAAATTGTAATATAATTTACAACTAGTGGTCTACTGATATGGGTTTTTCAATGGCCAATGCCGATATTTGGAGAGCTGGGCGGATGATGACAGATATCAAAACAAAGATCATGTATAATTCCATTATTCCATGGAGAGTACAATCTAATAGACATGGTTATCTTAGCCAGTAGCATGTTGTTTTAGATGGATTTTCTATTAATATAGAAAGAGAAAAATATATTTGATAATGCTGTACATTACAGAATGTGACTGGTGTTCAAGGTAGAGTGAGGTACAGTTTGTCAGACTTGATGTCACGATGATGAGAGAAACATGTTAACATTTAGAAAAGACGATGAGGACTGAGGAAATTTGATGCTCCAAACATAGACAAGGCTGCCTGCAGATGTGTTTACAGACTTGTTTATCAGCCTCATTAGTGATGGTCTCCTGAGGGATCTCCTCCCAGGCCTAGACTAAGGCATCCGCCAACTCCTGGACAGTCTGTGGTGCAACGTGGCGTTGGTGGATGGAGCGAGACATGATGTCCCAGATGTGCTCAATTGGATTCAGGTCTGGGGAACGGGCGTGCCAGTCCATAACATCAATGCCTTCGTCATGCAGGAACTGCTGACACACTCCAGCCACATGTGGTCTAGCATTGTCTTGCATTAGGAGGAACCCAGGGCCAACCGCACCAGCATATGGTCTCACAAGGGGTCTGAGGATCTCATCTCGGTACCTAATGGCAGTCAGGCTACCTCTGGCGAGCACATGGAGGGCTGTGCGGCCCCCCAAAGAAATGCCACCCCACACCATTACTGACCCACCGCCAAACCGGTCATGCTGGAGGATGTTGCAGGCAGCAGAACGTTCTCCACGGTGTCTCCAGACTCTGTCACGTCTGTCACATGTGCTCAGTGTGAACCTGCTTTCATCTGTGAAGAGCACAGGGCGCCAGTGGCGAATTTGCCAATCTTTGTGTTCTCTGGTAAATGCCAAACGTCCTGCACGGTGTTGGGCTGTAACCACAACCCCCACCTGTGGACGTCATACCACCTTCATGGAGTCTGTTTCTGACCGTTTGAGCAGACACATGCACATTTGTGGCCTGTTGGAGGTCATTTTGCAGGGCTCTGGCAGTGCTCCTCCTGCTTCTCCTTGCACAAAGGCGGAGGTAGCGGTCCTGCTGCTGGGTTGTTGCCCTCCTACGGCCTCCTCCACGTCTCCTGATGTACTGGCCTGTCTCCTGGTAGCGCCTCCATGCTCTGGACACTACGCTGACAGACACAGCAAACCTTCTTGCCACAGCTCGCATTGATGTGCCATCCTGGATGAGCTGCACTGCCTGAGCCACTTATGTGGGTTGTAGACTCCGTCTCATGCTACCACTAGAGTGAAAGCACCGCCAGCATTCAAAAGTGACCAAAACATCAGCCAGGAAGCATAGGAACTGAGACGTGGTCTGTGGTCACCACCTGCAGAACCACTCCTTTATTGGGGGTGTCTTGCTAATTGCCTATAATTTCCACCTGTTGTCTATTCCCTTTGCACAACAGCATGTGAAATTGATTGTCAATCAGTGTTGCTTCCTAAGTGGACAGTTTGATTTCTAAGGAGTGTGATTGACTTGGAGTTACATTGTGTTGTTTAAGTGTTCCCTTTACTTTTTTGAGCAGTGTATTATATTAAGTCCAATCCTAGTCCTATTGAATGTTCTTCGTTTCTGTCAGAGGCCGTACCAGAGTTCTTGCTGCAGTTCGTTTGGCTGATCACTGAATGGCATACAGTAATAATGTTCCTCATAAAAAAGTTTCATTCGCAGTGAAAGCGGACTATGTGGATCTTTGTTGACCACAAGCTAATGTCTGCTCTTGTTTTTTTGTTTTTCTTCTTTCAGATTCCTGATGCAGTTACAGGCTACTACCTTAACCGGGCTGGGTTTGAGGCTTCAGATCCAAGAATGTAAGTTCTACTAACTCTATGAAGTGAAGGCTACCCTCAAGCTTTAGTGTGAGTGGGTCTGACCGATATCCCATGGAACCAAATGACACAGATCACAGTGCTGTAATGAGCACTTTCAGAAGTTAGTCATAATGCACTTACAGGGCAGGCACAAACGGATTGCTTGAGCAGCTGCAGGTAGAGTGCTTTTGAATGGGTAAAGGAGAGGCACTTTGTAAAGCCCTTCTGTTATAAGCACTATATAAAAGCAATCCATTTACCAGTTTTAGATTTTTAAATTACTTGTTTGTTTAAAGATCTTAGAAAGTTCATTTGAGTTAAATGTTTACGAATTAAAAAGTATCCCTTGTAAACCAGCAGGCAGCGTATGTATGACCCTTTTTCTGAATGTTTGATCAGTAACGTGGGACAATGTAGAACCACGCCACAACTAAGATAACTGAGACAGGAGAGTGGGGAATTATGTTTGACTAGGTTAGAGAAGTAAATCTGTCAGTAAGTCAGTGATAAAACAAATCTGATCATTGCCATATTGCATCATTATCACCTACTAGGGATAATGTATCATGCTTATAATGATTTGGGGAAAGAAATTTGGCATCATGCGCTGAAATACTTTGGAAAAATTATTTTAACTACTGCTTGTGAGAATGGCAGTGTTGTCTTAATTTAGTTAAGAAGCTTTCGGTCAGGTAATATACTTGGTGAAATTATATTTATTATGATTATTATGCTGAGTGATAATGCTAATGTTAATTATTTTACAAACTAAGAAAAACTGATTTGATATTAAATCGACTGTCATGCCTGTCTGACTTACCAAATGGGGGTTTAATTTATTTTAAGTAAGCCCAGGATATACATTAATACAGCTACTAATTTTCCATACTCATTGGCATGTACGAGTATAAAGGAAAGACTCTTCTTTAGCCTAGTAGACCATGTATTGTCACCTTTTGTGATACTTGCTCTAATCATTTCTTGGAAGTGGAAATGAGATCAGAGTTACTCTTTGATCTGCCTTATTTGTTTCTTCCATGATAAATGGATAATTAGACACAGGCTGGTTGTGATGATTTTCTTTCTCATTTCTTTAGAATTCGTCTGATCTCCCTTGCTTCTCAGAAGTTTATCTCAGACATTGCCAATGATGCGCTTCAGTACTGTAAAATGAAGGGCACTGCCTCAGGAAGCTCAAGGAGTAAGACCAAGGTCAGTGTTTAAAATGTGTAACATTTTAAATGTCATACTGCCTTACAGGATTTTGACAGTGACGTGTGTGAGGAGGAGTATTGTCAGAAGATGCTGACAGGTGGTTGTCAGCTGCCTGTAAGTGCTCTGATCATTTTGTTGCTGCTAATTTATCGTTTGTTTTCCCCCCCTTCTCTATATATAGGATAAGAAGTACACTCTGACTATGGAGGACCTGTCGCCTGCCCTTTCAGAATATGGCGTCAATGTCAAGAAACCATATTACTTTACGTAGAACCTTCTTTATTTAAGCCTTTTTGCTTTTGCTAGTTTTAAATTCCCTGCTGACCCACTAGAGTCTGTTGACACCTTTATTGCTAAATGTTTTTTTTTGTTATCATGGTTCTTTAGTACAGCTTTGACAAATGTTAGACACTTTGCCATTTGTTAATTTTTCGTGGAGCCACCTTTGCATTATGTTAAACTGTAAAATTACGTTTTATTGTGAAAATAAAACCCATACCAAAAAACTTGATGTCTGTGAGATGTTAAGTCTGACTTAAGGCTGTTTGGATGTGGAGGGTGCAGTGGTGGAACAATGTCCAACATAACTGACATTTTGCAAACATAGACACTGTGCAAAGCTAAAATGCGTTTCCTTCACGTATTCTCAGAGATTGTGGTATTCAGAAACAATGGTTAAGTATTAGAAAGGATAATGGGTATTATAGGTAATAGTATATTGTAAAGGCAGATAACATTAACTTGTGATTGACTGGAGTTCATGCCTTTGTCGGGCTTATGGACAGCTGCAGGTATTCTACTGCATTAAAAAAAAGATCGAAGCTACCCAGTGTAACAGTAAATATTGTGGTTTGTTATTCCGCAAATAAATGTTATTTAAACTTTACTGTCGCGCGTTTTCGCGACGGTACCGTTTTGTCCCAAGCTGCGAGCCGTAATCATATGTCCTCCTGAGCCACCGTAGGTCCTAACAGCGCATATGCTGGACATTCAAATTATTCGCGTGTAATCGGTCAAATAGTACATTTATTTAGTCTTCAACAGTGACGAAACTGTCACAATGTCTGTTCAATCAACAAATCCCAACAACCCGATTGTTTTCTTCGACATAACCATCGGAGGGCAGGTGAGTAACATTAGAAGAAGGAGTTTAGCTAACAATCAGTAACCCAGCTAACGTTGAGTTAACGTTAACTTACAGCACCTCAGCAATGTCACTAGAGTGTTTTGTTTAGGTGAAAAGTTGTGAACTCAGTGGACTAACGTTACGTATTTAAGGGTTAACGTTACCAGTTAATACAGTATCTGATACACAATGAGCAGGATGCAGATTCCACATTTCTCTACTGGCCGTTTATACTGTGATGAGCAGCTAACGTTACGGTTTGATTGAATTGGTGGTCTGGATCTTTGGATGGAACACGTTCATGATTTAGGTCAGTGATACCCTTGTGTTGCACTTTATTCGCGTTGTGGTCTGTAAGCCGAGAACTGACCTGACAGTTCATCACCAAGGCTTTACAGAGTTTACTTTGTTAAATAGAAGAAAAACGTGAAAACGGTTGTAAGGTATATTTGAGATGTATTAAGATATCCTTCAGTCGCTTACATTGCATTAGACACCCTGTCTCAAACCGTCCACAATGTGACATTTTAATTATTTACACAGTTATATTTCTTCTTATTGGATCATAAACTGATTTATACATTTTGTTCAAATGTAAAATGACGTCCTTTGCTTGGCCTCCAAACCTGAACCCAGCATATCACTGCAAACACATTACTGTAATTTATCGAAATTGCATAGTTATTCGACCAAAATCTCTCTGAGGCCATATCAGGCAAGTTACATCAAATAAACCTGAACTTAAAGTGACTTCACTTGATTTATATTCACTTTTGAAGACCCTGCAACATTAGAATAGAACATATAAAACTAGCACCAAAGTGAGAAATAAAAAGCAAAACTAAATTATATTTAGAAGGTAGATATACACTGATCAGTCGTAACATTATGACCACCAGCCTAATATTGTGTAGGCCCCCTTTTGCTGACCCATTGAGGCATGAACTCTACTAGATGTTAGCACGGTAAGCGAGTCACCTGGCCATCCGCATGATGTAAAAGAAAACGTGATTGATCAGACCAGGCTACATTTCATTTTCATTGCTCCATTGTCCAGTTCTGATGCTCACATGCACCATTGTGCTTTCAGCAGTGGACATCGGTCAGCATTGGCACCCTGACTGGTCTGCGGCTACGTAGCACCATACGCATCAAACTGCGTTGCACCGTGTGTTCTGACACTTTTATATCAGAACCAGGGCTCTGTGGGGGCTATATTATCACTTCCAGGACTCCTTTTTGTCTTTACACTGAAGTTCTTAATGACTTTTGCTGTATGTTTGGGGTCACTGCCATGTTGCAGAGTAAATTTATAGTATGGGCCCGAATTTCTCAACATTGAGGAGAACGTTAATTCTGACCAAATCCACAACTCCATTTGCAGAAATGCAGCCCCAAACTTGCAAGAAGCATCCACCATGCTTCACTGTGCCCTGCAAACACTCATTCTTCAACCTTGTTAGTTGAGTTTGGCTGTTTCTCACCCAGTTGTATTCCTTCTACACAGCTATCTTTGTTGCAGTTAATGATTGTGTTTCAACCTACATAGTGAATTCATGATCATTAGTATCTGTTGATACTTGTTGTGATAATTGTTTAATCGTACACCTGATGATACGACTACAAAACTCTGTGACTTTGTAGAAGTGTACCTAGAAGAAATTATGCTGTTTTGAAGGCAATGGGTGGTCCCAATTATTGATTTAATTTATGTTTTCCTTCTGTTCACTTACTTTGCATTTTGTTAATTGATAAATATAATCTATTAACTTTTCTGTCTTTGAAAGCATTTTTACTGTACAGCATTTTCCACACCAGCCCTTGACTTTTGGTGTGTGTGTGTGTGTGTGTGTGTTTATAAAGTTTGAACTACCCTTTTTTGCAGTTATTAACAACAACTACTACTACAATACATATTTTAACATATCAAGTAAAACAAATATAAAGTTTATAGAAATGTAAAATTCCACTCACATGGTAGTTTCCAAAGAATAATAACATCATACTATACATAACCTCTCTACGAACAGTACCAAAAAAAGCGCTTTGAGTGGTTGAAAAGACTAGAAAGGCGCTATACAAATACAGAGCATTTACATTTACAATAAAAAAGACAACAAACCCCTCCAAATTTCTTCCTGGATACCGTAGATTGTGGTGAGTGCCACGCCTATGTAAGACAGCGGATATTAAACCACTTAATAATGTAGGCATTTCGAGGAAGAAACTCATCAGACGGTCTTATCTCAGATTAAACCATGACTTGTTTGTGAAACAAAGTGGACTAGTAAAGTAAATGGGCTGCAATTGCAAACATGCAAAAATCACAAAGTTGACCCCTGCATATAGGCTAGTACAGGTCTATCATAACAGCAGCTTGTGTAGAATCCATATGTATCTCCTTGAATTAATTCATGCATATATATCAAAAGGTGCAGACCTCTTTCATCAAGAATAAATATTACATATTATAATAATTAGCCTTTTATTGTTACATATTGTAGGTATGCTCAAAATGGAATAATTATATATCCATCCATCCATCGTCAACCGCTTATCCTGCGTACAGGGTCACGGGGGGCTAGAGCCAATCCCAGCTGACATCGAGGTACACCCTGGACAGGTCGCCAGTCCATCGCAGTGCTAACCACTGCACCACCGTGCTGCCCGAATAATTATATATGAGTCTTCATATTTCACTCAAGTCTAACAGAAATAAATTAAAAAGAACTGTTTGACAAATATAATGTAGACAATCGATGTATGGTGATCTCTGAATATTTACAATAATTTACCTTTATGGTCACAGTTTTGCACCACAATTACAGTCGGACGTGCAGTCACAGTTTCTTGTCGTTGCTTTGCTCAGTCACTTCTGCATGTGCTGATGGAGAGGCTCCTTTCTGTGTCCAGGCTTTTTCAATATCCGTCAGAAGTCAGTTTAAGGATCAAACAGCCTTCACACACATGAACCATTCATAGATGCTCGCTCATTTTCCATTAAGTATTAATTCACTGTCATGCATGATTGTTTACACTTGCTTTTAGCTGTCAGGTATGATAGGTAACGGGTGTATAGTTCATCTTTATTGTATTACACATAGTAGAGAGTGTTTCTCTTGCCTTTTGATTGGTTAAACACAGCTACAGGTAGTTGCTGCTGTCGTGTTCCTTCGCTCAAATGCCAGTAAATTTGCCATAAGCACACGTTTTCTGGTAGATGGCTGTATGGTCCTAGCCTCTTGCTCTTTACCCAGAATACCACACCCACCAGTAAACTGTGGGTGCACTCCAACCACAGAAGGTTAACAGTGAGGTAGGCAGGTACTCCAAAGCCAAAAACCAGACAGACCACAGACATAGCGAGATAAGGCATCCAAAACATACCAAAGCCCAGTGTTAGGCTGAGCCACAGAGGTGGTCGCGGCCAGGTGCTCTCCTCCAGATGATACTCGTCACTCCATTTTGTGTCCGTGTAGTTGCTTGAGGTGAACAACAAGTCACTCTTCTGGTTCTCTTGTTCTTCCCTCTCTTCAGATAACCTGTTAGCCTCTTTCACCCACTGGGGTATCCTTGACCAAAAGGGCAGCAATGTACAAGTAACTGCTGTGAAAAGCCCCAAAGTGAAATAGGCAATCAGTGGAGAATCCTCTATTTCACACACCTGAACCTTTATCCCTGTCACATAGTCCAGTTCTATGAGTTCAGCTTTGACAGAACCAAAGGAATAAATAACAGCTAGCATCCACACCAGCAAAGTTAAGACTGCGTTCCTTAGGAATTTGCAGAAGGCGCTCTGGTTTTTGAGGTAGGTATCTTCTAAACAGTAGTCCAGTACACCCAGGCACATCATGGGCAGTGGGAGTGCTCCGTATGTCGCCGTGGCATTGGCCAGGAGGAAGCAGGGTGACACATGAGACCGTTCAGCCCCAAGAAACCACACATTAGCCATAAAAACCACCAACGCCAAGTCAGCCATGACGATGGACAGGCTGCACAGGCTTAAAAAGGAGCTGTACAGCTTCTGGCAGCAGAAGTGAAAGACTGCTGCGTCCAGTCCCAACTTTAAAAGCAGAAGAAACAGATACTTGTCAGTGTTGTCTGTATAACAGCCAGACCCCCCCTCCCTTTGTTTTATAATGGCCAGCATTTTGATGGTATGGCTATTTTTCTTGAGACGCTGGCAACTCAAGCTGCATTTATTGCAATCGTGCAGTTCAGTATCAAGGTGCTCCAGGAAATGCTGTGAAAGACAAGATAATATTGGTTAGGAACATTGGACATGTAGATGGATGGCTGCATGAGTTACACTTAAATACAAAAGAAATATACATTCACTTTTATGATTGCCGCTTTGAGACACTTTGGTTCTTTAATGTTTTACTAATCAGTTCTGGCTTCCTTCTCAACATCTTACAGCAATGGTATCTGAGCAGCGGCAGACACATCAACCTGAATTTCCAGTATTTGGTGTCCGCATAATTGAGTTGTAGCATTGATGACCAGTAAAGCAAGTTCTGCCACTTGAAGCATGGAGCATTTACTCACCAAGGAAAAAAAACTATATGTGACCCTTAGATGTCAGACCAATATTTTCCTAGTCCAGTGAGTTTCAGTAGTAGATCCAGATGCGTAACTCCTGCATCAGTGTAAATTAGAGGCACTGCATGCTTTCATCAACACTCGACTGTTTTCAGGTGGAGCAGTTCCCTTATAGACAGGTATTTTTTAGCTCCACCTTCCTGTTGGGAATGCAAACCAGTTATGGGAGAGGCCCTCTGCATGTTCAGTGAAGCTTGCTAACAGAAATACTCCTGATGCAGTAGCTTAGCTATACAAGTTGAAAAGGTGTGACTATAAAAGTCCATACGTTTAGGTCCAGAAAGCTGCAGGGAATTTAAAGCACGTGTGATAGATGTTGAGTTTGTACTCTTGACTCATGAATGTTAAGTGAAACCCTTTTGTCTTGTATCATAAATCGGGTCAGTACACTTGATACCCTTTCTCATCTTCCTTACAGTTTTGTTATGTTTCAAGGAATCCGAAGTGGTCTTTAAAATTGACAGCCTATACTAGCATCACAGCAAAGGTTGTTCAACCGTACACATTTATCAAAATGTAGACACTAGATCCTTAAGTCTGTGTATTATCTAATAAGATACTACTTTTGTTTTTAAACGGTCTTACCTGCACTTGAATCAGACAGTGAACCCTAAAAAAATCCTTTATGTTCCGTGTAAGCTCTTGGCTTCTGTATTTCATTTCCTGGAAACTATAAGCATACTGTATTGTCTGAATAGCAAAGAGGAGAGATCCAATGACCGGCTTATTTTACTGTGAGTCTGTGTGTGTGGAGTGAAAGGACAGTTGTGCAGTCATGTCTTGGGTACAAACCACCCCTTTTACACCAGCGCATTGTTTGTTTTCACGCACAGATACAGACAGTCAGACATTGTTGTATCAGTCGGCCACTTGCATGCCCCACTGGGTTGTGGGAAGCATTGGTGGACAGACATCCATGCTGCAAAAAACACACGCACACACACACACACAAAAGCACATAAACACACAGTTCATAGAGGATTTAATGTCCAGTAATATGTTGCGTCAAGATTGTGGTGTCTTCTCATTTACATCTTTCGATGACATATGCTTTGCCCACTGGGAAATGTTATCAGAACTGCAACAAAATATTCTGTGTTGTTGAGATGAAACAGAGTATACTTGATGTTTTCAGCGAACTCAGAAGAGCAGAAATGAAAGATGTAAAATGAATAAGCTAATGTGTTAATATATTCAATGCCAGGAGTAGAAGGAAGAAAAGCGAGAAGAAATCCTATACGACCATATCTTTTGAGCTAAACGCTGATGTAAACGAGTTTGTTTCTTCCACCTTTTTTAGGTGTATAATGTTTTGGTCTTAAATGGGTATCTCTGCGTTTTGTATGTTGTGTGTTTACTCAAAGTTTTTTCAAATGTTTGTCAGGATGTCGGACGGATGAAGGTAGAGCTGTTTGCTGATGTGGTCCCAAAGACAGCGGAGAATTTCCGGTAAGGCGAAAGTCTGAATCACAGGCTGCTCAGATTATTGGATAAAAATAAATTTTTGGGAGAAAAGAGATGTCACAAATATAAATGTTGACAGTATTTTGGATTTTTCAAAGATGTTAGTTACAGTTTCATCATCTTTTACAGGCAGTTCTGCACTGGAGAGTTCAGGTAAGGCAGTGAAGGCTTGTATTTTTTGATGGGACACAAATACTACTTCACCATGGTAAACTGGCCACATATTCATTCATTGTTTTAGCATTCATTTAGGAAATCTGATTAGTCCCAACATTTGGCAGCAACCTGACTTTTGAAACATGAGAATAAGAATCAGGTTAAGGGATGAGGAGAAACCTGATTAACAAAAAAGGCTTCTGCTGATGAAACCTGTTTTTTTTTTTTTGCCCACAAACAGTATATGCTTAATCACAAAGAGGGTTTAATGAAATCTCTTGAGTTTACAAAACCTGAGATGAGGGAAACTCTGGGTTTCCTGTTCCAGAAGAGCATGGTAACTGAATCTGTGAACATAACCTGCTTGCTTACAGATTTCTCTATGAATCTCTCCTCCTGCGGCGCCTGAAGCAGCTGTCTGACACATGGAAAGCATTAATTTTAAGAAGTTTACATCATTTAGAAACATCAAAACCCTAGTTAGATTAGATTAGTTCATTACCAAAAACATGATCTCTGACATGACTTTTATGATCAATCTGTCATCAGTCTAAGGACAGAGAAAGCAATATCTGGATATCATGGATTCATTCACAGCACAGAATAAAATCTGTAGGTTACACTATCCTTCATAACACGGTGACTCTGTGGACATGATAGCAGTTGTCAGGTTGCCAACAGTTGAACTGAAACATTTACTGTGGGATACTTAACTACAGTAACAGCCATTTAAATATTGTGATTAGTTGCACTGGTGGAACATTCCTATCATAGTTGTCATGAGATGAGTACTACTGAGGTGCAGTTGAAATGACTTTAGGATTCTAAAACTGGACCAAATGTAAATTAAAAGTGAGTTTTTTAATATAAACTGCATGTAGTCTTAATGTGTTATGTCAGTATTTCATTAAATGCGAACAGAGCGAGATTCTTTAGTGTGAGATACACATCTAACAATGTACAATCCGTTTGAATCTAGACACATTTTTAAAGTGCAAATCCCCACAATCATTATTACTGGGTTGGTCTATGACTTTACAGTCATAGGTCTGTGAGTAAACTATGTCTTATCTCTGTGATATCAGAGATAAGACATAGTTTACTCACTCATCTGTGTGTCATATCTCCATATTTTCATCTTTAGTTATTGCCACCACCATTTGGTCCCTATCAGGTTACAGCTGAATAAATATATTTAAAAATCTAACAGAATATAATAAAAATATATAGATTTTTAAGATGGTCCTTGTTGGCATGCATTCATATTTCTAGCCCCACCGGATTAAAATGAGGGCTCTTTATTTACCCGTTGCCGTGGTGAAGCAGAGGGAACATACTCAGAGTTGAATGAACAAATTCTGATCAGCTGTTCTCGAACCAAAAACTCATCTCATTTTCCCATCTCAGGCTTCTTCAACTCAGAGCTCAGGGTTAGGCTCAAAGTTTGTTAAACCAGCTTTCTGAAACAGGGCCAGGTCTCTGAAGGGTATTTACAAGTGCGCATGAGCATAACAAAGACCCAGCACAGAGAAAGTATGCTGTATCGCCAAACAAGTTTTTCATAATGCTGTACCTCAGCTAGGGCTGGGCAAAAAAGGTTTTTTGCTATAGTATTTTGTTGCTTACATATACAACATAAATATAGAAAAGTAAATGGATCACAAATGTACAAGTAGGTCTATGCCAAATGTAAAAAGAAATGCAATGCAAAAAATATACAGGATATTGACTAGATGTGCAGGATATTGACTTGATTAACGTTTATCGAATGATATGAACTTTTTTTTTGTTAACATTTTTGGCCATCATATTGCCCAGTCCTGCCCTCACCAACAACTGCACATTGTGAGCCAGTACATACTGATCCATTACCTGCTGTGAGAGGCACATGGTTCCTGTAATAGACTAGACAAAAACAAATGAGTTGATATTTCTGCAGTGAATGGTCTTATTTGGAGAAAGCAAAATGCAGCATTTAAACCCACATGAAACTTTTAACCCAAGCTATTAAACATGGTAGTGGATCTGCATTGGTAGCTAACACTGACACTTATTTAAATGATCTGCATTGTTGTCAAACATAGAGGGAATGTGACACCATTTACAGGACCAGGTGCTCTTGATGCAACCAACACAGTTCCTTTATGCTGTTCCCATTTGCAAAGATGATAGACTTTCCATTCATACAGATGGTGATATTAAAGAGCATTTTCACAAACATCTCAGAGATCTAAAATGGAACAGGATCCTTTTAATGATTGTTCAGCTGCTGCTGCCAAAGATGTGTCTTGGCCTGTGGTCTTTATTCATTCCTACCTAGATGTTTGGTGATGGCCCATTTACTGTCAACTCACATCACATACAGACGAGCCTGCTTTGTGAGAATAACTTGTAGTACAATACAGTATTCTTGTCTTTACTGCTAACATCCTTTTGTCCTGTCTCAAACTTCCACAGGAAGGACGGAGTCCCTATTGGTTACAAAGGTTGCACATTCCACAGGTACACAACACGGCAGCGTGATCTGTATAGCTCACATCGTGCTCAGATGTTGGAATGATTTTTTTAAAACATCTTTTGAATTATTTTAATTCAAGTAAAAACCGACACCCTCTGGTGGCTTTTAGTTATGTTTTTAACCAGGTTGTCTTCTGGTATGGAGATCCATTTCATACAAAACCCCACCCAAACTGCATACCACCTATCCCGTCAGCCTGCGCAGCCACCCAGCGGCAGCGCCTGCAACCCAGTTCGACATCAGGTGCCACCTAGTCAGCATTGCCAAGTGACCCAAATGGGCATTGTGCACCATCCAATTGGACATCATGCGCCACTCAGCTGGGTTGTGTAGGGTTTTGAGAGATGTTAGTCTTCAGCCCTTTCTGCCAGAAGTCAGGTGACGTAATGTAAAGAGCAACATAGTCCATGAGAGGAGGAATTCATTGTGGTTGAATGGGTCAACTACAGGACTTTCACCCAGGACACTAAGGTTCAATTTAGACCTGGTTGACTTATTATTTACTTCTTTTTTTTTTTTTAATTATCATTATTTGTAGTTTTCAGTCGCAGTTTGGTTAGGGTTAGGGTTATTGCAGCTGTATTTTGCACTTATAGACCCTTATCAGACTTTCTTCATAAATCATTTGCAAGAGATTACAACAGAACTGTACTGCAAACTAAAGTGAAATCTCATATCTAACCCTAACCCAAAACACATATGAAAGCTGTACGGGTAGAAGGAGGGGTCGCTGTTACTAGATCTCTAGATAATAGAAAATAGGATGACTAGATGATGATTTGCATATATTAGTACACTGATTAAATAACCACACACTTTGTCATTCTGCAAGCCCCACATATACTGGTAGATGCATTGTATTCTGCCAAGTGGTTCAATGCTTTATGCCATGATTACTGTAAGCCCACAGCTAAGAAAGCAGGTGTTTGTGCTGTGAAATGGTAAAATGAGTGAGGCTAAATTAGGGAGTGCGTGTGTAGGTGCGTCACTGTTCATATTATTGAATCAGAGCAGAGTTTCTCAGCAGGCTTGCTTTTTATGGTTGTAGATACAACTTTCGGCCCTAATTCTATTCAACCTTTTCACTACATACCTACGTCTGTATGTAGTGAAAGGGTTGAAAGTTGTTGTATTTACACACAACTCTGCGTAGGAGTGTGCATTCAGTCGCTAGTCATGCATCTTGCTTTGCTTCTGGCCCATGCTCTCACACACAGTAGTATCCTAAACATGTTGGCAGAAAAGCTTGGAGACTATCTTCTCCCAATACCCTGTGCTTTCCACTGGGTGGCTGCGCTAGTTGACTGGATGGTGTTTGGTAACTGGATAGGTGGTGTGCAGTTGGGTGTGGTTTTGAATAAATATTCATATCCTGGAGCAGCTTTCCATGGGATTCATGATGTGTCTGTCCCTGTTTTTCTTAATATTTATAAACAAAAGTTTGTATTTTATGGGAACTATAGTCTCTAAAAAACTATTCACCCACCTTTAAAGTTATCACATTTTATTGTTTTGCACTTATCAACTTTTAATCAGCATGTCTAAATGTGATTTTTGATTAACAAATTTTACCTTAGCAAATCTGACTGCACTGATGTTTTTTTGTTCATTGTCAGGGTGATCAAAGACTTTATGATACAAGGGGGGGACTTTGTAAATGTAAGTACATGCACACCTCTTCTGCTCTTGTGATATTTTAAAAGCTGGTGGACTAGTAACAAATAGCATTTCTTCTGTTCATTAATCATACCATGATGTCAAACAAACTGCAGAATTTTGAATTCAGCAGGATGACCATAATGTAATTCAGCCCCCCTGGTGGACATGTTTTGCATTGTTATGAATGCATAGTATCTTATGTACTGTTTTTCTTTTTGTGAAGGGTGATGGAACTGGTATCTGCAGCATCTACAGAGGTCCATTTGCAGATGAAAACTTCAGAATGAAGCATTCGGCACCTGGTCTTCTGTCCATGGTATGTATGTAGATCAATGCTCAGATGTTAGGCACTTCATCCAAGTCAAGATGTTGGGTTTCCTGCAATCATTTTGTATGTCCTGTATGATCCAGTTCAACAGAGCTTTTAAAACTGCCATTCTTCCTCAATGATGTGTGTTTTGTTCAGGCAAACAGTGGCCCAGGGACAAATGGCTGTCAGTTTTTCATCACATGCACTAAATGTGACTGGTTAGATGGGAAGCATGTTGTTTTTGGTGAGTAAGTGTACTTTGTTAACTTGGCATTCATATTTATTTAGAGCTATTTCTGTTTGTTTATGTGCCAGAGTTGAATTATCTTATTCTCGGCTGTTTCAGGAAAAGTGGTTGATGGTTTGCTGATCATGAGAAAAATTGAGGTAAATATTATTTTATGTTAATATATTTGTGGTTAGAATTTTATTCTGTTTTTCCTTTGGGAGTAATAAATCAATGAAGACATTTTAGACTGACCTGTAGATTTACCAAAAAAACTAAGCAAATCAGTGAGAGGAGGTAGACCACTCATAATGGTTTAAATAAAATAAAAAATGTATTCACGCTTAATAATAGCATAAAGACACGAATAATTGAACAGCGTGTTTAAAGTGACGAGGCCTACTGTACTTCGTGCACTGAGATGTTACATCCCTGAATTATTTCAAGCGGCTCTGAAATCAAATCAGATTTGAAGATGTTGACGTTCACTGTCCTGACCATTTTCATCTCCACAGTCATGTTTTAAAACTTCTGACCCAATTATATTCAAGCAGGCGTCCAACCTGTGACTAAAAATCAATATTTTTTCTATGGAATAAGAAATTATACTATTGATTTTGTGCATAAATCCATAATGATCATTTTAGTTGTTGTAATGTTTACATCACTCTTTTAAAGATGAGTTTTTTGGTTCCAAATGTGGGCTCCTTCCTCCCAACAGAACGTTCCTACAGGACCCAACAACAAGCCCAAGCTCCCCATCGTCATTGCACAGTGCGGAGAGATGTGATCCAGCCATAAGAGAACTACACAACCTCTGTACACATGAAGTAGTGTCTTATAGTTCGAATACTCCCCTGCAAACATCAACCCACATATTTTTTCATGTATCAATGCCTTCTCCCATAGTGCACATTGAAGGACATTATAAACTTCAGCAGCACATCATTTTGGCCATTGTCTGAGTTTGGTATAACTGATTCCAGGTTAACTGTTGCATCCAAACTCAAATAAGATTATTCACATTTGAGATGGGTTTTTTTGTACTCACAGCAGGTGAGTGAGTAGGTTTAAAATGCATTTTGTGAAACTTCATGTTCAATATTGCTATTGTTGTTGAGTCCAAATGGAGACATCGTGTGTATCCTGTCATAAAAAGACCAATAAGACATTCAAAAACTATTCAGTAACACTGTGTATCAGTTATGATCAATAAATTGTTTTACATTTTTATAAAATTTCTCTAAGAGATGTTAGTTGTTTGTTCCCATCTGTACATGGCATCATACTCATATATATATATTTTTTTTTTATTATTTTTTTTTAACATCATTGGATTGTTATATTCTCAGTATTCAAAGTTGTAATGTTGTTCTCTAAACCCCAACTACTAAAAGTGTATATTCTATTTAAGGTATGCACATGTAATTTGTTTTGATATTAAGCTCACAGCAGAAATTTTAATTGCTTTTGACCAGTTTCACATACATAAATATATGTATTTATTACAATATTAACAGTAACCACAGAGTGCAAGACCAACTACAAGTGAGAAACAAAACATCTGAAATCATTAGTAGTCTATAAGGCCATTTTTATGTATTTTATTCCACCATTTTATCCGTTAAACGTGTCTTTATTTATGTGAAACTATCCTATTTCTGAACTTTTACTAGATGGTTTTCACGTCTTTATGTTTCTTACATTACAAAAAAAACAGGGACGTTTCCCTCAGAGTCTTTAGATTGGAAAATTATCTAATTTATCAATGAGGAATTGTGCAGAGATGTATAGTTGGACTCAGAAGTGATGGTGGGTAATACTCTTAACCACAAAGCCATGCAGCTAAGGAGGTAAACACTTTATAGTGAAAGGCACGAGAGTCCTCCAAGGCACACACTCCACTGCCAAGCAATCCTCTGCTGAACTTACGGCTACCTCGTCTTATCCCAGCCATCCATACAAATCCAAGCCACCAGACCCCCTCCCCCATCTACGCTCTCTCTCTCTTCTGCCTGGGACCTCGTTTCCTTGGCACAAAAGAATCTTTTCAGATGGAAACTTTGTTCTTATGGTGGCAGGAAGGAGTTTTTTTTTTCTGGAGTAGAGGGGGTGGGTCTCTTCGTGGGGAGGCTTTCTGGGGTCAATGCTAAAACCCATCTTTGTGTGGGAGAACAGGGCTCGGCCATTAACAGCGAGCTCTTCACACATCAGCCAGTGCTCATAAACAGTGCCAGTGGAGCATTAACATGACAATGGGGGTGGGGGTGGGGGCTGTGGTGGGGTTGTCTCACACTCTCAGTCTGTCTGCTCTGTGCTAGTGAAAGTAGTTTCTGAATTCACTCAGGATAATGACTCCATTTAACCCATTTATTGTGCAGGGCAATATGACCGGAAAAATATTGTGATATTGTATCAGGATTTACTGTCACTATATGAGTCCTTAAAATCTGAGAAGTGTAACCATCTAAGACACAATTTACTAAAAAAGCAGGACAGTCAACATTATAAATGTCCTCCCTGTGAATCCCAGAGAATATCAGGACACAATCAAATTTCATGCTAGGTGTTTTTATTGTGAAGGAACATTATGGTTATTGTGTAATGTGTCCTGAAATGGCATTTATTCAAAACAGTCATCTAATGATAAGGACTAATCTCTTACAAAATTATATCACATTTTAACTGTAATGTGTAATGTAGAGGTACTTCCAGAAATTCCCTGTGATATCGTGTAGTAAATTCCCTTCTTGTAGCTGCAGATATTTACAGGCTGACAAGAACTTGATGTTCTGTACAGCACATCACAAGGAGCTCTCTTCCTAAATCTTCAGAGGTATCATGTATGTTTAAGAGGTAGGTAATACTGCAGCTGTGATAATGTTTACATCATGTTCCATGAATAAAATGTTAAGGCTCTCTTCTAACCCTCCTCTTCTTAAAGGTCAGTTATCCCTCAATAAATTTCTACAGTGGTAGCTCCATGTGGCGCCAGTGCACAAGGAGCTACAAGTAATGTTATATTTAATATTTTGTTAGTATGGCAGCCATTCTACTCTATTATAATGAGGTTTGAGAGACAGACTACTTTTAATTTTCAATTGACAAATGTCACATTTTTCAGTAGGATACTGAGCTGAAGACCTGCTTTGACCAAACATTAAAAACATGACATGAAGAATCTCGGTTATGATGTCTATTGAGACAATTTTATTTAAGTGTGGGGGACTAGTTAGTGGTAAAGTGCGACCTAGTTCGCCTAATACAAAAAATATCTGTCAATCAGTGTGTAAAACTCACGAACAGTTAATAATAATTCTAGTCAAGTTTTGCAAGCATGAGTTAATTTTGTTAAGATCTGTCAACTAACATGCTGCAGACTCTCCGTAAAAATGTGACTTGTCTGGCTTTGACATCACCGTGGGCGGTGACAATAGACAGGTACGTTCTACTTTAGCCAATCATTTTAGCAAAAACTTCTCTAAACGAAATCGACAGTTGCTTTAGCCAATAGGAACGCTCTTTGTTTATCGTTACAGATTCCAACCAATTCGAGAAGTAGTTGGGCGGAACCCCGACCAGGAACATTCCCCGGCACAGTTTCTCATTCTGCCCAGTTCGATCGGCAACGGGAGCGGAAAGAGGAAAGCAGAGAGCCCGAAGGCAGTAGCCCCCACCACCGCCGGCCCAGGTTACCATCTAGCACCGGGAAACACAGCAGAGAGCCGCCGCCGGCAGAAGCCATTACCAACCAGAAGTAACCATGAGCAGCGAGGCCGAGACACAACAACCACCGCAGCCTGCTGCCGATGCGGAGAGCCCATCCAGCCCGGCAGCCGCAGCTTCCGCGGGGGATAAGAAGGTCATCGGTAAGGCTACTGGAAATGGGCTAGTTAGCTAACGTGGTTTGGGGGACAGAGGCGATGCGCAAAAGCGACGGTTGGCAATATTAACGAGCCGATGACTGGTTCAGTTAACCGTTTGAATTACTACATTCACAATCTGATATTGCCGTTAAGTCGCACATCATATGAAATTAACATTGGCAGTTAAATTTCTCCCGATTTCGTATAAAGTTACCGTGTGTTATGTCTAACGTTAATTAAAGTAGTGTTTGACTTAAATGGCTTATTACTGGTGTGAGTTTTATCTTAAGGTAAAACAAATGTCCTTATACTGTTAGCCACAAATTTAAAAATGTCAGTTGTAAGATCGATGTTCATATAATCAGTGCTAACGTTAGATGTAACGTTAACATCACCTATTTAGCACTGCTTAGCAACTTCCTTCATGTTGCAAGTCATTATTTTCTCCAAGGCTCATAATTTTAGATGAGAAACGATTGGTAAATGTGGCTAATCCTTCCATTTTAGCCGGTTAACTTAATCGCTCGTGTTCATCGGCCTCCTAACGTCCAATAGCCGTCACAAAATGCCATATTAACGTTACTGACTGGCCATCACATGCCCTACCGTTGAAGTTGTTTCTGTACACTAACGACAGTGTGTCTTTTTAACTTGCATATGAAACGTTAAGTTAATCGGGCAATAGCAGTTGATGTCAAGGCGTTAGACTTAACAACTATAATTTTCGAACAGTAACGTTAATCACACTTAACAGTGGAAGTTATTTTGCTCACTTAACCGGCTACGACAACTGTCGTCGAAATCAAGCTAACATTAGCTGCTGGCCATCCCTTTGTTCACACGAACGAGGCTGGTTCCGTGTTAGCAGTCTTATCTCCATAAATAGTCCAATCATATACACAAACCTGCGGCTAACATAATTTGCGAATCAACAATGTCATCTAAATACATCGGAATACAACTGATAACCGTTTTTGAATTTCGCTCAAATTTAAGGGCTAGCATTATGGCCTACTTACTAGAAGCAATGGTAACGTTAGCTCAGTGGCTAACGAAGCCCAGCCAGCTAACGTTTGCTATTTACATGGCTGAAGGGGCCACTCAAAATGTCCGCCGCATGATTTCACGGATTTCATTCGCCATGTAGTTGTTTGTTCGTTAAAACCCATTATAACAAACGACACCTCTTTTCCTTACATAACATTAGGTCACGATAGGTACTGTAGGCTGTGCTACGGTAGTTTCCGCTTGCTGGCTTTAATCCAACCACATGGTTGAGACCTAGTTAGCTTCTATGCTAACAAACCAGCTGGGCACGCTGCTTGCTAACGTATCCGGGCGCGACTTTACCACGTGTGAACGCTTATGTACCGAAGCAGGGCTGCTTAAAATGGGGCAGTAGGTCTGTAGTAATTAAAACTGTTGTCAGCGAAAACAGCGCACTTTATTACTTTATCAATCTTTTGACATACCATACTAAAGCAGCTCCCTAAACAGATGTATTGATAGTGAGGATACTAAGAAATCTTAAGAGACGCATGGTCATAACTGGCTCATAATGCTCATGACTGATACCGCACACCAACTGCAGTTGGCACATGACACTCCTAAGCATCAAGATCTATTAAAAGGACGACAGTTGTTGAGTTATATATAACTTCCACATTATGTTGCCTTGGTTGGTTTTTGATCATCTGTCCTTATTTGATTCCTTCAGTTTTCTAAACAGTAGAGGTCTTGTGAAACACGGAGAAACTTGTTTGCACCTTTTTTCCTTTTGTCTTACAGTATGTTATTAGTGTAACATTGAAATGGAAATGACTGAACTTGTTTATAATTTTGTTTTTAATGTGTCTCATTGCAGCAACAAAAGTCTTGGGTACAGTCAAATGGTTCAACGTCAGGAATGGATATGGATTTATCAATAGGTAAGTGGACCCCACCCCCAACCCCCATCCCTGCTCCCTGAAGACCCTGCTATCATCTGTGTGCGTAGGAACATCCCCAATCCTATTATGGCTTTGATTTGCTTACAAAGCTGACCAGACGATTTGTCCGCTGTTCTCCATCCTGTATGCTCAGTGTACGATTAATCCGTACATTTGCTGCTTCAGTTGCATTCTGTGGTTCAGCAAGACACTGCTAACTAGAGTTTCTTTCCTTTGGTTTAGGAATGACACAAAAGAGGACGTTTTTGTACACCAGGTAAATTGCAAGTCTTGTTTTCGTTTATTTTTTTTAAATGATCAGGAATATGAAATCTCACATCTGAATTTTTTTTTTTTCATGGTTTTTAGACAGCCATCAAAAAGAACAACCCGAGGAAATACCTTCGCAGTGTTGGAGATGGAGAAACTGTGGAGTTTGATGTAGTTGAGGGAGAGA